AATCACAGAAGAAGAATAGAGAATTAGAACAATAAGGGTACAAATGTAGTGAAGCAGAGAGGGTAGAGGTACGCGGCGAGGTAAGCGGGCGATTCTTATATCATACTGTTTTAAATTGGTACATACATGCTGAAGCTCTAAGCAATGAGTTACAGCTTCCAAATTAAAATATAGTACGATATAAGAAACGCCCGCTTACCTCGCCACGTACCTCTAACCTCGCCGATTCACTATATTTGTACCCAGAGGAAAATTAAACAGATAAAGGATAATATCACAACAAAAATTAATCAATCCATTTAATGTTACAATGAGATCCAGGAGGGAGAAGGAGACGTGGAAGACCCAAATCAGAATGGCTGAAAGAAGATTTACGTAGGGCAGGAGTGAATAATTGGCAAGAAAATGTACAGAATAGAGCAAAATGGAGGGACACCCTAAAGAGTATTATATAAGAGAATGCAAATGTAGATCTAGCGAGCGAATAGCGGCGTTCAGGCTTGGCAAATTCAAAACGCTCCTTCTAGTTTAAAAATGGAAGTATAAAGGCCAATGGCCACTACACCGGATCATACTATGACCGTGACCGTACCGGCATAGGCAGAAGAATATTCTTTGTATAGATTTAAATGAGACAATGCCCACTAGACCGGCCCAGCATCGACCAACACCATCCTCATTTGAATCTATATAAAAAAAATCAGGTCCGGGCACGGTCATAGCATGGTACGGTATAGTGGGCATAGACCTTTAATATAAAAAAACAATATACATACTTTTCCCAGATGAGGAATACGAGTCAAAAAATAGGCATGTACTTTCTATAAAAACTTACAAACGAAATTATTAGGATATAGATAACTTATACTTTTTAAGACATGTTATTTTAAAGCATATTATTTTGACAAATATGCAATGTCCTGTCCGCCATATGACAAATATAATATTGTATCTATGGTCTGTGTAATGATAACCAAAATGTGATGTAAGCAAATTCCATCACCACTACCACCAGTCTCCCCTTAATATCTACCAAACATACTGTCATTCAGTTCGTGTAGGAATATCCACTTGTAGCTCTTGTTGGTCAGATTCGATAGGAGGATGAGAACCTAAAATATATAGGTAGATAAGATAATTTCAACTACCACCAGACACAAAAATAACTAAATGTTGTCTCTACACGAAATGAGAAGAAAAAAAGGCTTGACTAAAAGTAATTTTTAGGTTTAGGTACCGAACACGTATAATGTAAAATGACAAAACTATTTGTGAATTTCCTCTAAGTGTTCACATATTTAGATAATATAATATTGTATGTGGTTCTACGACCGTCCCTGTACGTTCTCGATCGTCACAGCTGTCGTTAGGTCTGAGCTGGCTATAGAGATTCGACTTGAATGTTTCTTTGTACGCAGCCCGACGCGTGGAGGATTTTACGAACCCATCGAGATTCTTCATTTTAAATTATTTTACCATTTAAGCTAAGTTTCAAAATAAATGTTGTCAAGTTAAATAAATTATAACTGTGAAATAGTGCATGAGTATAAATAAATTAATTAATACTTGGTGTAAATAAATTTTTAAGTAAATAAACTATTATTTTAAAATAAACAATCCTTATTAAACTATAATTAAAAAGGTACAATATTATAAAATTATTAGCCACATAAGACGATAATGTAGATGAGTTGCTTTATACAGGGTGTTTCAAAGAGATTGGTCATAAATTAAACCACATATTCTTGGGTCAAAAATAGGTCGATTAAACCGTACTTACCTATATACAAAAGTGCAACCAAAAATAGTTACCGGGTGTACAAGATAAAAATTTAAATGAATTTTTTTAACGTTGCTCTTAAACCGTTTGGCATTTTTTCATGAAATTTTATATGACGTGTTAGAATACCATGACTAATAATACCGAGGGAGAGGAAATATTTTTTTCTTGATTTTTATAGGTTTTTGGAGGGGGTCACCGCTCTTTTCTCCACTCAACTTTTTTATAGTATAAAATTTAATTACAAATGAAATGCCACTGGAATGCAACATTCATTTGGAAACTTTTTTGTCTCCTAGTATTTGTTTGTAAAAACTTTAGTTTAGACGATACAGCCATTTGAAATGACAACTTAAAAATATTCAATGGAAATTCTACATATGAAAAATATCAATATCAAATATGGGCAGATAAGAGAGTGGACGAAAAATTAAGAGAAAATTTCAAGAAATAAAAAATAAAAAGTAAAACGAGTACAGAGTTATTCATTATCTTCATTATCACAAAAAATATTTTAAATAAAAGTTATGACTGAATATTATTAAAATGCAATCAAAAACACTTTGGCATGCAGATTTCCCAGGATACACTAAAAAAGTACAATTTTTTTAAACGGAATACCCTGAATGTTGTACAAATTTTGGAATGGTCTTTTTTCCTGATTTCAAAAATATACCTTTATTTTACACCGTTTTCTAATAGTTAACATTATTAAAATTATGAAAATAATAAGTATTAAATTTGATAAGTGACATTTCTTTAAAGAAATAATCAAAATGGTTTACTGTGAGGAAGAAAAAGTGCAAATATTTACCTAAATACCTAAACTAAGATATTCGATGATTATTAAGCACACCATTTATTTAAAACATTTTTTTGGTATATTTAATAACAACGATAATAAAGGGTGAGTAAGTTATAATAGATAACTCCGTATCTTATAACATAGGTATTAAAATTTAAAAACAGATATCCTGTGTAATATATATTTCCTGGCGCAGGCAAGTGCAATAGGCCAACTCACTAACATTCAGCGGCTTGCCTGTCTAAGTGCTTCTGGGGCTATGCGCACTACGCAACTACGAAAGAAATTTTCAAAATCAAATACCAGTCCGAGAATTCTGGAAACAGACACATCCCGTACAGGCTCAACTCGTCTGGTACACAGACGGTTCAAAAACCAAGGAAGGAGCCGGTGCTGGGATCCATGGACCCAAATCGAAAACAAATATTTCGCTGAGTTTAGGGAAATATGCAACAGTGTTCCAGGTTGAAATAATAGCCATACAACACTGTGCAATAGAAATATTAAATCAGCAAGTATCAGGCAAAACTATTGCCATATACTCTGATAGACAAGCAGCACTAAAGGAATTCTCACCAGAAATCAAATCACGACTGGTGAAGACTGTCTGGAAGACCTGGCAGAGCTAAGTTGTCAAAATAAGGTGACCCTAGCCTGGGTTTCAGGCCATGAGGGATATCAGGGCAACGAAAAGGCCGACGAATTAGCCCGAGAAGGCTCAGATAAGGCCATGATAGGCCCCGAACCCTTCTGTGGAGTTGCTAAGGCATTGTGCAAGGCATCCATTAAACAATGGATGCAAAGAGTCTCAGGAATAGTGGAAACAACTATCCAAGACTGAGACAGGCCAAACAGTTCATCAAGGAACCATCGGTCAAGTTCATGAAAGCGTCAAATCGTTAGCATAACAGTAGGCCCTCTTACTGGACACTGTCGCCTCAAAAGGCACACGAATGTCATCAATCCAGCAGAAGAAGCAACTTTGTGCAGGTTCTGTGAAGAAGAGGAAACATCATTCCACATCCTATGCCAATGCGAAGGCCTGGCTGGAATGAGGTTTCTAACATTGGGCGAAGAAAAGCCAAAAGCATGCAACTATATGCGGGAGCCACTGTCAAAGCTACTAAGTCTAATAAAAAAGACCAGGCTAGACCACATACTCTAAAACAAATGGAGTCCCACAAAAAATTTGGAAAGGTCACGGTGGACAAGGACAAATAACGTCCAACTCCTAATCAAAACTAATCTAATATATTTCCTGAGATAGATCCATACATTTAATTTCTTATAATTTTATCGTTTAAACAATAATACACTGAATAAGTTTTAGAATAAAATATATCTTTAATCTGAAAATGCGAAAAATCAAACTTCATTAATATATTCATTCCTATAAACTAAATGAGTCTTATTAGCTAGAATTATTGAAAAAGAAGTTTGTCTAAAAAACAATACTTGTGGTATAATAAACGAGTATAATATAAAAAGAACGTTTATTTAAATTTATGCGCCTGATAAAGTTTGACTAGAGAATGAGAATGTGATTCGAGAATGTCCATCTGTCAAAGTTTATCAGGTTTGAACATTTTAAAGAACATCTTTGAAACCTGCTATTAGTATTTCAAAGTATTTGACCAGTTCTTAAATAGATAACTTCTATCATATGATTTTCTTCATATTACGTTAGTCTTGAAAAATGGCTACTTTTAATACTTCTTGAAGTCGAATCATCATATGATAATGCAAACAAGATCCAATATAACTTCTTCAAGAAAAGTTCTTCCTCAAAAATCGGAGTGATATTCATTAATAATTTTGTAGGTATGAACCCTGCGACAAAAGTATATGAAGACATGAATGGGTAAAGGGCCTTTGTCGCATTTTAAACAATTACTTTTTGTGTGCTAGAGGTTTAAAAATGGTAAATAATTTTTCTTCAATGTTTCAGCAGAATCTGATAATAATTAAAAGAGTATTCAGAAGATAAAGGGTCTATGTACAAAAAAAATGACTACATTTTATGGATAAAGGATCTATGTAACTTAGGATGGTCATAGGCCTCATTTTTATTAGACATTAAAATTTACTGATTTATTTTTTGTAAAAAAAAAAACTAAACGTTTTTTAGGTTAGATTTTTATATTACAAATGTATTCAATAAATACAGATTTATAGGAAAAATGCTGCTTTATAGTAGCCCTTCTGTATTAAAACTGGTTTTTCTCAAAAAAAAAAAAACATTTAAATACATAGACCCTTCATACATTCATGTCTTCATATAGAAATTTGATGTGCATTTTTCCCATAAACTATGTTCCCACGAGATTGCCAAATGACTGCTGTACATTCCATCATTATATTTGTAAACCGCTCTAATAAAAAATAAATTGGAGACATTATATCATTACATTTATTTTATGTTTCAATAATATTTATTTAATATATGACTTGTTCTTGCTGTCGTAGCAATACGAGCTGCAATGTACTTCATTTTATTCCTATTTGATCTAAAGCCTAAAAATTATAAATGGGATTAATATGTTAAAAAGACTAATTTTCACTCTTTTTATTCCGAATTAAATACGTAATTAAGCGGAAAGAGTTACTTTTAAAATACATTTTTCACGGCGTAAGACTATTGCAAGTTTCAAACTATAAACGTTTGTTACAAAAAATTTGTAATCAGGATCCAGAGAAGCCAAGGGAGAGTCGCCCCCCCCCCCCCCCCAAACGATGATAAAGCTTTTGAATTAAAAAATGTATATGTTGTATTTGTTTGGAGTCTCTCGATAGGCTATTGATTGTGATATAGAAAGGAACAATGAACTTTTTGGGTTTTTATCCCATGAATTGTTCAAATGGTCATTAAAAATGAAAAAACTGGGGAGTGCTATTAAATTAGAGGGTGGAAATAGGAGATAGGGATGAAGATGCAACCTTTATAGTTATATAAATTATATCTCGAAAACGAAGCAAAATTCAGGTATAGTTAATAGGATTTTTTTTTGTAGAGAATGCGATTTCATAACGATATAGTTCATTAACATTTTTTTTATGTGAAAAAAATAAAAAAGAATTAAAAAAAGATCATATATTGTACAGTCTGTTCGCTATACTTACGCGGGTTTCGGATTAACAAAATTATGCAAATTAGTCATTGACAACCAGTTCCAATAAGCCTCTTTCCAAGAAATTAGGTAAAATTGCCCTAATGGTCAGATTTAAATTAACATAATATTAGGGTAGGTACTAAATTTGTTACAAATATTGCAGTTGAATTGATTCTTTGCAAGTGTTGACATTGTATGTATATTGTAAATTTAGTGGAAAATTTAAAAATGCCTAGACGTGTGTTAGATGTAGATAGTCTAATTTGTAGTGTACATAAATATTTTACGGATGAAAAAGAAAATGGCGGTCCTTTAAAATCGTTAATGTCTGTACAACAACGCGTATGCGATGCTCTAGGAATTAGTGAAACCAAATTAAGAGAAGTATTACAAAATCACAATAGTGAACTGCCGAAAGAAGATCACCGCAAAACTCTCCCATCATTGAAAACGAAAGATATTCCAGATGGAAAGAAATTTGAAATTCGTGATACCATTTATCGAATGTGGGCCAACAAGGAATATGTGACCTTAAATACAATTCTCTCGGAATTAATAGATAGAAAATTTGACGACATTGGCAGAACAAGTCTATCGGGGTTATGATAGACAAATAATGTTATTTTTAACACACACGTTATTTGTGAACAGATAAAAACGGGGTTATGATGGACAAGTAATGTTATTTTTAACAGGTACGTTATATGTGAACAGCTTGTTATTTCTGTGTGTTTATAAAATAACAGACCTGTTAAAAATACCACAGGTCGTCAATCATAACCCCCTGAATTCTGTGTGTTTATAAAATAACAGACCTGTTAAAAATAACACAGGTTGTCAAACATAACCCCCTATGACAAGTGATACATAACTTGGGTTTCAAATTTCAAAAGGAGGATAACAGAAAGGCCAATTGTGAAAGAAGTTCTGTCGTGCACAAGAGAATTAACTTTCTAAGAAAATATTCTAAATTTAAAGAAGAAGGGGCGAATTTTATATATTTAGACGAAACATGGATATTTTCTAGGGGTGCAACCAAGAGAATATGGCAAGCTGATAACGTAAAGTCCATCAAACATACCGATGGGGAAGGAATAATATTTTCATCTAAATCAAAATCCAGTGACTATCACGATAATATGAACACAGAAATGTTTGTAAAATGGTTGCATGAAAAACTTCTCACAGGTTTAAGTGAGCCTAGCGTAATTATTTTAGACAATGCTACTTACCATTCTGAAGCATTAAACAAAAGTCCAACGAATTCTTGGACTGTTGATAAAATTAAAGAATGATTGACAAAGGAACATATACCATTTCCTCAATATATATTAAAATCAGAATTATTACCCTTGGCAAATATACACGCAAAATCAAAAATCTTTGTTGTGGATCAGATTATTTAAAGTTACGGTCATCAAGTTTTACGTCTGCCACCGTATCAATGCCAGTTTAATCCCATCGAATATATATGGTGAATAGCAAAACAATATTATGACAACCATATTGGGCCTAATGGTTATAGTGACGACGCAGTTCGGGAAACTTGGCGAAAAGCACTTTAAATTGCAACTCCAGAAGTGTGGCGGAACTATATATCCAAGTGCGAGAAACTAATAGAACATTGGTGGACTCATGAAAATAAAATAAACGAAATAAGTCCAATCATAATAAGAATTAATGGTGATGACAATGATGATGATGACGATTATGATATTTTGGATGATAATGACTGATTTTCATTTTTTTTGGCAAGTTCAATTTTTTATTTTTCATTTGAAATTCTTTACATGGAACAAATTTTGATAGAAAATATTTTATTTGAGCTAAATAACCCTCTTATTATACATATACCACATTTTCTGTGTGAAGTGTAATATAAAATTATTATTATTAGTTTTATAATAGCCACATTAGACTAGATTATTATTTAATTAAAAAGTTGTACATTATTTTTCATTTCATTTAACCAGTTGATATTTCCCCAAAGAACAAGTCAAACTTTCGGGTACTTACCTGGAAATACTCATAAAATTTTTAATCCGAAACCCGCGTAAGTATAGCGAACAGACTGTATATTGAATTTCCTTTAAAATAGTGGGTTAAAAAAGTTTTTTGGATAAAACCGGACTGAGATATAGCCCCTCAAACTTATCTATTTTTTTTTTATTTTTATCGCGTTTACCTTAATATCGTTTTAGTTATTTTTTAAAACAAAATAAATTTTTTATCAAAAAAAGTATTTGAGTTAATTTGTTAATTAAAATTTAATATTTTTACGAATATGTAAAACTGTGATAGATTGATAAATAAAGTCGCAATCAATTGTACTTAAAAATTGTTTTTACGATATAAAAAAATTTATTGTTTTTTTGCAATAAAAGTTGTTATTTTATAATAATAACTAGTATTCGCCCACTGGTCGAGAGTCGACCATAATCATTATTTGTATGTTTCTAATATTTTTTTTATTCTTATACATTCGTTCAATGTATATCTGAGACCTTATACTTTTATAACGTACGTACAATATAATAACAGTAACTAACAATTTAAAAACCCTCATTTATTGATATGAAACACATTTTTGTTAAACCGATTCTGATTAATGAGCACTTTCTTCTTTTTGACATTTCTTCTTCTTTTCGTTTACTTTATATTATATTGTTCGTTTTAAATTGTATTAGGTCTGTTCTGGTTTTGAGAAATCCACAACTGTCGGGCTCATGCGCAGTAGATAAAAAGTGTTATGGTTTTTCTCGGACTACTTCAGATTTCTCAGTCCAGTGGTCTGGTTTCGTATCAGAAATAATCCGTGATTGTTGTAAACAGTCAAAATGTGTTCATGCTTGGGAATGTGGATCGACTAGGACTGTTTTGAACGCGCATGCGTTTTTAAAGTGTTATGAATATTGTATTAGCTTTTAAGACCATACAGAACGTATACAATCCCAAATTGTTTATTTATGTGTGGACGAATGTCTCTTGTTCTTGTTTTATTTCTAAATTAAAGCAATTTTAGAATTATTAATTTTTTAATATTCTCTGTTTTTATTTATTCCATTGAAATGTGATGATAATGATAAACATATACATGCAAATGTTATTTGAAGCTGAGCTTTCAAAAGGAACTGCATTATTATAATAAACAATAAACAAAACACCTTTATGTGTTCTGGTTTTCCAACAATTTCAAACAGTCGGGGATTTTTTGCCTTTACGCACACGGTCCGGCGCAGTTTCAAAACGAGTTTTCATTTTGAAAACCAGAACAAACCTATTTTATTTTATCTGACATTATACTGAACGTGATTATCATATATAATATATATTTTTTGGAAATGAATTAACTGACACCTTAAGATTACTATTATTTTCTTCAGACATTTATTTGGATTTGTCCTTTATTTCTTCTTTTTGACATTTCTTCTTTCAGTTAATTTTAATTTGTTTTGATATTAGCCGAAGCGCCGAGCTCATGGAGGAGGAAGGTGAAAAATTTGTTGGCCAACTCTTCGAATATTTCTTATATTTTTTTAATTATCTCAAAATATCCGAAAAATAAAAAGAATGTTTCACCCCCCTCCTACAATTAAGGAGGGGGGATTGACTTGTCTTATATTTTGGTCGTTTATACAACCGTGGGTGGAGGGAGTAGGGGGGATCGAAAATCAGCAAAACTCAAAGCTGTACGACTGTCGCGTCCAATTTCGATAAAAAAAAAAAGTTGATCCTTTTTTTTTCATATGGAAGGGTGGGTGAGGGGAGCAGGGGGTGACTTTTTTTTCGCCTCGCCCTAAAGTCCAATCCATAGTACCTGAAGTTCATTTAGCTAACTCTAGAGGTTCTATATATCGACCTTCTCTGGAGTGGGGAAAGAAATAGAGGGGGGATTGGGCGGTTTGAAATCTTTTCAGGTAAGGCCTACGGCCCCGCTATTAATTTTTTTTATCCCTTACCATTTATAGGTGTGGAAGAGGAGGGGGAGGTTGGAGGAGAAGATTTTTTTCACGATCCTATATCCGTCCATGTAATATTGTACATATAGGTTCAAAATTAAAGGGCGTTTATGTTAGTTATAGGCTAAAATTTTATTAATCAATCATAATTCATAATTGTGGATCAATGTATTTCGTATATCGAAGGTTGGGGAAAAATACTATTTCCAAGCTCGTCAATAGCTTTAAACAAAATTTAAAAAAAGAAAATCGGTTTACAAACAGAAAAGAAAATGGTACTGAACTATTTTTTCTTTGCCTATTTATATATAGATTATTATTTTCATTGTTTTATATCTTTTCAATCTCTTCAAATTGGATATCGATTTCTTTGTCTATGTCTTAAAGAACATCGTCTCCTGTAATCTCTGTCTTTCGTACATTTTCGCACTTGACATATATGCATTGTTTGCAAAATATTGAACAAGTTATACCTAACTTCCTACAACCACAGCTTCCGTGGCAACCTGTGGTACATCCACAAGCCATTTTCTTAAGCAAAATCTCTGACACAGATGATTCATTTGTGCAAATCGTAATGAATCCATTTTTTTATTTTTTCCAACCCCAGTCGAGAGGGTTTATGTGATTACCGTTCCACTGTTGCATTTGGAAATTATTTTGTTATTAAACTAGGTATAATGCTTGGTGACATCGCGAGCTGTCTGTAATTGGGCAAGAGAAAATTTTGCACTTTTTGATAGTTGAAAAGCTGAAAGCGACAGTTGCTTAAGGTCTTATTTAGCTTTGTCCCATAAAAAGTAGATTAAATGTATTCTGGTTCAGATTCCGTTTCTTTTTCAGATGCATTGTAGCGTAAAAACTAAAAACGTACCCATATAAGATTTTTATTTATAAATTTTACAATTTTTGTTTCCAAAGTCGTGACGAGCATAGTTCTACAAATTCATAAAAACATTGAATTTTTAATAACAAATTAACTTTAAATACTTTTTTTATTGAATAAAAATCAATTTTGATGTAGAAATATAAGAATTAAAACGGCATCACGCCATAAAAATCGAAAAAAAAAATAGCTAAGTATGAGCGGCTATATATTAGTCTTTTTTTTTATATAAAGTAATGCCTATGCCCAATTTTCTTTTTTAGTAATTTTTACATAAATTCGTTGATTTAATGTTTTTACATAAACTATTTTGATGGGAAATCGCTTTCTCTACAAAAAAATTCCAATATACCTAAATTTTGCTTTGTTTTTGAGATATAATTAAAAAACTGTTGGGGTTGCATTTTAACCCCTAGTTCCAATTTCCATCCTCTAATTTAATAACTCTTCAATGACCATTTGAATGATTCATGAGATTAAAAACCCGCGAAGGTGATAGTTCCTTATTGTCCCCTTTTTTAGGACATAATCACAAGCCTACAAATCAACCAAAAAATGTACCCCCTTCATCAAAATCCTTGATGCCAACAAGCATGTTTGATGAAAATTTTATCCCAACCTGTCAAAAAATTACCACTGGCCATTGGGTATTGATGGTAGATTTTATTTTCTTCGAGCTTGTTTCTGTTAATCATATAAAATTAAAAACAGTGGTGCCATTACGAAAAAACAATCAAATAAACTCAAAATGGAAACAAAATAAACATAAACGTTAGAAATAGAAAATAATCAAAGCTAGAGTATTGAAAATAAGTTTCAATATCTGCCGTTTTTCTATGATATAATCCAATACCTGTTGTGGTATTAGCCAAGAAGTCTATAGTTGTTTTCCAAAGCCCTGCAATTTTTTTGAGTTTCTTCATTTTATAAATTTTAGGTTAGGATTAACCATCAAACATCAAATTATTACGGTTGTTTAAATTTGTAAAACTTGCATAGTGTTTTCAACAAACTTGCCTCGTGAAAAACGATTTTTAAAGAAAAGATGAGCTATGTTTTGAAATGTGCAAATAAATTGGTAAAAAAATTGACGTTAGGCGTAAATTTTAAGCAAGGGAGAGAGCGACATCTAACAATACAAAAGTTTACAAAAGCATCACAATTTTTTATAGTATTTCACTTTTATGAAGATTGACAGAATATTTGGAAACATTTTACGCAACGGTCAAATTTTATAAAATTTCAGATTACATTCTTGCAATGCATAAAAAAATTGCCAAAGATAAGAGTAGAAAAATTAATTAGGAATCGAAAAACAAATCTCTAAAGTTTGCAAGCGATAGTTTTTGGCTTGGCTTTTAAGAAAATAAAGCTTATTGCAAACTAAATAGCGAACTACAAAATTAAAAAAAGTTTAATGCAAAATATTTGATTTATCTATTATAAATCTAAAACTCTGTTTCAAGAACGCTTGTTAAATCTGTCAATAGCTAATATTCCTATAAATTTATTAGATTGTGGGTAATTTGAAGTTCATGTCATTCAGATAGATCACACTCTTAAGACATGTTAAAGTTTAAAAGGCCCATACAGTTTTTAAGAACGTTTTTGCAACAGGCTGTAGATATGTTAAATAAGTAAAATAATATAGTCATTGATAGTATCATACATCAACTAAAAGAAAAAAAATTTAAATACATATTTATAAAGACTACTTGAATGAAAATCGAAGTTCGGGGTATAACTGTTTTAGAGTTCTAGGTGGTACCAGCAGTGCTCTGGAATTTAGAATTGTCCAGGAAATGCTCAACGAATCATGCTCTATAAATATGGACCCTATAGCTAATTTCGGATTGAGAAGTCAGTATAGGCAAGATATATATCTTAAATACGATGTCAACGTTGCAACAGGACTATCAACAACTATTGTAAACAAATTGACAGCAACATATTTGTAAAATGATTTGAAACAGTTTTGTTGCCTAAACTCCCCTAGGGAGAAAGATAATGAGAGCCAATGTTCCGTATTATTTGAAAAAAACTGGACATATTTTTTATTTTATTTATTTACGGAAAATCTCCTTTTACAAAATAATTATTATCAGTAGATATTTTAAACCTAACCTAAAGTATCACACAAAAAAGAAAAAAAAAACTTAAATATCTTAAATATCACAAAAAACTTAAAACCTAAACCGACTAACTCCCAAAAGATCAGTGTGTTTGTTAATTTCATTTCCTTGCCTTTGAAATCTGGTTAAAGGACTGTTGAGTCCGTAGTTCGTATGATGGAAGCTAATTGAAAATAATGGTTTCTCTCTAATATTTATGTTGTTTAATCTAAAGTTTATTAGCTCCAACATATCCGGACAAGCTATATTCCCTTCCAGGAGGTTATAAATAAATAAAAGATCATTACTAATTAACGTTTTCTCAACTGACAATAATTTTAAATGGTTATTAAGCTCCCTTTTAGAAAGATAAGGCATATGTAACCTCCACTGACAAGTTCTTAGAAACCTATTTTGAAATGCTTCTAAATTTAAAATATGAGTCTAATCCTAAGACTTCCTTGATATTATTATCATTGTGAAATTAAACCAATTGAATTGGTATGGAGTGAAGTAGAGTAGGGACAGAAATTGGAAAGGCTTTTGGTAGGTGGAGATGTAGTAAACCGTGTCGGACGACTTCGAGAATTTCGCGATAATGTTTATCTGCCAGTGTCGTATCATGGAATAAGTAATTTTAAATTGTTACCGGTGAAATCGGGCAATCGTATTTATTTATAAGCTAGAAATAATTATTTAAACAAGTATTATAATTGTCCAAATCATAATTCTATAAAATTTCCACAGCTATTCACAATTTATTAAACTATTTACATGCATTACGCGAAACTGAGTGGCTCAGTGCCAGAGTTGCCTAACCAACAAAATGTAAAAACAATCTTTTTTCATATATTATTGTTTTAAAATCATTTGTGTGCCAAAGTTGCCCATTCCTAAAAATTATTCGTTTTAGGCAATTTCGTCTAGTAGATTCAGATTAAGTGCTTTGGTCTCTATTTACCAACTTTTAATAATTTCAAAACAACCGGTAATCCTATATTATTATTTTAAAATAATTTCTGAGCATGCCAAAGTTGCCTACTCTTTAAAATTATACGGTTTCGGTGCCTATATCTATAGCTAAAAATTGGGAAGTTACATCTAGTAGACACAGTCAAGTGCTTTGATCTCCATTTACTCAATTTTAATAAATAGTTGGATAGGCAACTCTGGCACTGAACCACTCAATTGTTATTAGCATTTATAAAATAATTTTATATAAATAAAAAGATCCTTGGTTTATTCGGTCAAAAACCAAGCAACTTTTTAATTAAATAAAATTCTACTACGGTCAGGAAATTATCCTTATTCATATAAATTAATTGTCTACCCCAGTATCGTGTTCACTACGGTTGGCTCCGCGGCAAAACTGTCAATTCCACTGATCCTGTGGTATGAAGTGGGAGAATTACGAAAAGCCTTTCCAACTTCTGTTCCTGAACTAAAACATTATGTGCCCTTTAACAATGTGACATTTAAGGCAGGAGACACAAGAAACTATAATGAGGATTAAAAAAAAAAGTTGAAGATAATAATCTAAGAGAATTATGCTGAACATACAATAGAGATTGAAGAGCATTTTAAAACAGAGAAGAACATGCAAGATGACATCCAATGAGTTCTAATCTCACTACAATCCGATTCAAACGATGTTACAAATAATGAAAATGATTACTTTTTACGATATTTTCATTAATTAGCTGTATATATAATATTTGATTTTACAAAACGTATATTCTCTCATTTTAATCTCAAGAATGCAAGCAGAGAAGACCACTGCAGATTTTTTGGCAAACTTCAGCTACAATGTTGTCACATCTCACAGTGCTGACTTCTCAATCTGGGCTTATAGTAGCATGATAAGATTTCAGTACAGAGGTTTCAGTTTTAAAAGAGGGAAAGAGAAGAGAAGTCGCAGAAATTGTGAAACTCAAAATCATATTTTTGAATTTCCACTTTACTAAAGTAGACATTTTATTTTAAACTAAAACACAAAATCTACACAGCATTACCGAAATTTCTTTGAAGTTTTACTTGAAACGTCGTTACTAACAGCTTCTTCAAATGTTTGTAGAGATTCAACAGTTTTTTTGCTTTGTTTATCACCGAGCCCTAAAAAAGCTTTATGTAAAAATGTTATACGGAATAAATGTATTCGCTTGATCGATGTCGCCCACTCCACAATACTTAAAACCATTTAAAAAATTAGGAGAAAAGAATGATTAATATTCTGAGACAAAAAGACAATTAGATGGAATTGTCCTGTTACATTTTTAACTGTGTTGTGATCTGTTAGAATAATGCCTACATAGGGATGTTAAATCAATAACATATGCCTTCTCCCTTTTTGTTAGGGCATTTTCATTCTTTTCTACATTGAAATCAAATATTTAAATGCACAAAAATATATAAAATTTTGAATAAAAACCATTCAAAAAAAATTTCACATTTTTAAAAAACTATTCGTTTCAGGGGAGAACCTGGAAATAACTGTAATAACGTTTATATATAAGAAACAAAATTTAAATATTTAACCATTTCAAAAATAGATAACATTCAATCTGTTAAATTTAGTTCTGACTTTGCACCTATCTGTATCTGGCTATCACAATTGCCTATTTTTTACATGTAACAAACCAGCCAGTTATACACCATGTTGTGACGACACTGGTCCAAATTAGAAACAAGCCATTGCCAATTTTTTACATGTCATCGTCATCAATATGCTCATTGTATTTAGATAGGATAGTAAAACAACCTTATGGACGTTTCATTGGAGGCAATTATGTCACGACATCTGTTAGAACAAGTACAGAACTTCAACAAAATGGCCCGAGCGCCAGCGCTTCCCTGATCATTGAGTATAGAATTTTATGTACATAAAGTTTTATTAATTTTTTAATTTATTTGGGTAGACTGCAAAATTTAAAATATTGGTTATATTTTATAAAATGATGATAAATCGTAAATAAATGTTCATCAAGCATAATTAAACTCGTTTAGATCATTTTTAAAACAAATATTCTGAATCGACTATCGATACATCTATTAGTAACTAGAGAAATTACGTTCATTATTCAGTTTCGACAACCGTTCAATGGCTCTTTAGAAGACCACAAAATTATCAAAGACATGACTTGGATACCACGGAGCTTGCTGCCATCTACTGATACTGTCCATTGTCCTCCAAGATAATCTGCATTGGTATTGTTCTACTAGTTGATCTAAATACAATGATTTGCTACATTAGTGTGACGAAATTTGTGTTCTACGCCATTCTGTCATTGAATTTGACATATAGGTTATTAGTTTTTTAAATGTTTGCAGGCTGTAAAAAGGAGTTTAAAAATATATACCTAACCAAATTATTTTTTATGTTTAAATAAATATAATCTCCAATCAGGAAGCGAAATTTCAAACATAGTTCCTTTAAATCTCCTAAGACGACACTGCTTGTGAATCAAAAGTTTTAGATCTAAACTTGTTTTCGCTTATCCAACATATTTTCAAGGGTTTATCGACAATTTCATGAAATGTCACGAGTGTCTCAACAACGAAAATAAACGTTTGGTATTTCAAAAAAATTATCCATACTAAAGGTTTGCACTAAATTATATTTAAAAAAGAAATATAACAGTATGGTTACCAGACGCTAGCATATGCGGACGATCTAGTAATCATGGCTAGCAAAAATTAGAGGAAAAGAGGACATTTAAAAGCATTGAAAAATATCAGAAAAGTATATGCTTCGAATAAATGAAGATATATGGAGATCAGAACGAAAGCATCTTTAAAAAAAAAATGAAATAAAAATTACCACAGAAAACAAAATATAAATTTGATAAAATGCATTAATTTGAATTTCAAGTAGTTGCGTTGAAGAAAAGAAAATTGAGAGGAGAATGATGAAAGGAAGTAAAGCCATAGGATCAATGTTAAAACTTTTAAAGGTCAAAGAATTGTCGTTAAAAACTAAATTAAGAATACATACAACGGTTGTTAGAACAACAGTTATGTATTGATGTGAAGCGTGGGCACAAAGGAAGATTCTGAAAGACTTTTAGGAGACAAGAAAGATGAAAACGGCGAGTGGAGAAGAAGAGCAGCCCAAGAATTGGTAAACATGTATAAGATATAGGGCATGTACACAGGATGCTGCAGGACAAGATGATAAGAAAATCCATTATGGGAGGGGAGGGAGCAAAGAAAAGATGCAGTTAAAGAAAATTTAAGGAAAGTGGATGTTGAAGACTGGATAGCCCTAGCAGTTAACAGAGAAAAGTGGAGAAAGAAAATTAAAAAAAAAACTTTAAATCACGAGCCTTTAAGCTTGTAGAGCTGATATAAATATATATAAGATGATAACATGCACTGAAAGAAATTTTGTTTTACAGTATTGGATAATTTATTAAGAAAACGAAAATTAACATAAACATTATTACAATTAGGCAATTAGACAAATAATAATTAAATGACTATAAACTAACCAGTAACAGCTAGGTACGTCGAATATATTTTATCTTATACTCAGAAGAATTATTTATCTCTATGACGAGGAAGGTAAATCTAAAACAATCAAAAGTATACTAAATTTTTTAAAAAATACCGTAAAAGATATCATAAATATTACATTAAATTACGATTTTTAGGTTAAAAACATAATTTTTTAATGTATGGATTGTTTGTATAGGCGTTAACCTAGTCTTACTAGACCATTTTTCTACTAATATTTCTCTAATTAACCTATTAATAGTGTAACGTGTGCCATGTCTAGCAGTCGGACAGGATGGCTTCAGCCAGGCATTTACCGTCGGGGTGGTATAAGCTCACCAAATGGTCACTTCCAAAAATAGGGCATCTAGAGACACCTCTCGGCAACGTTATTAACCTGTAAAAGTATGACCTGAAAGGCTGAATATCCCTAAATACCCCCATAGCGACAACCAGCAAATTTTTATTTGATAACATGCAGGACTTTGATTAGCTTAAAGGCGACACCTTTCAGCGACAACCAGCAGGTTTTTGACGACATGATTTTGATGAGCTGGGAAGATGGCTCTAGACACCTCTCAACTACAATCAGCAGGTTTTTAACAAGTTGAGAGGTAGGTCTATACCCGTGGAGGATGCCTAATGAGACCTAAGTGCTATGAAGCAACCAACCCTCCTCACCTTACAGATACATAATAATGTAACATGTGGTACGTCCGTACGGCGTAAAAATTTTCAGGTGGCGAATATTATTTTCCATAGGACCTAACAGGTATCAGTAACGGTTATCACTAGCTTTACTTGCCCTAATAAAGTTTAGAATTCAGGGTGCAATCACTAGAATATTAAGCAGAAACGCTATCACCACGCTACGGCACCCACTTTTGGTGTAGCTTCGTGGAAGTTCAAATCCTATGAAAGGATTGTTCAAGCCCCTTCTGATGAGCTTCTAGCTTGTGTGAGCTTGTCGTCTCCATTTTCCCCTTAGTTGCCTACTTTCACAGTTCGTACTCCACTTTTTAGTGGGATTAGTGATTAGACGAGACTTTCTGTAATAATTCTAGTCTATCCAAATTTATATGATTCCGTTAACCTAAAAGTAACAGAATGTTGAAATCGCTACCGAATTGCTAGAAGTAATCCTGAAATATACCAGCAAGTGCAAAGCTATCTAACTGTAAGAGCAAATCAATCTAAAGTTAATATTTGATGGTTAGAGACATGGCGATTATTTTCGCCTGGATAATCAAGCTGTGCTTCTCCAAAAACAAAAAATAAATATATAATTAATATATATTGTTTTATCAGTTAACTAAATTAACATTTAAAATATCTAAATGTCATTTAAATATATGATAATTTTATAAGTAAATAAAAATCATGTGAAATCCAAAAAAATATTTAGCTTTTAATAATTTTAAAGTAATTTTCTAAGGGATTAGTTCTATTCATATAGTAAATCGTGTTCTGGTAATAAATTATAGTTCTTATTTATTTATATTGTTTAAACTTCTTTTACCTTACTAATATGCTTAGTTAGCTCATACTACTTTGTTTTTCAGGTTAGTTCTAATATTTTGTCCGTTCTAAAATTTGTAGCTGTTTATCTTTATTAATATATACTCACTAGCTATCGCATCGGCCACCTTTCGTTTATCGCTCACTATGTAAAAGGCAGTGATTATGAAGAACAGTCCTCCTAAAACTTCTACGAAACACGTCGAAAACAGTGCATACTGCAGCGAAGTAAACTCGACTTCATCGTCCTCATAAGAAGTAAGTGTTTCGGAACTGTACGTCTTCGAGAGGGCTCTTTTGAAAGCTTCCGATAACTAAAAAAAAAGTAATTTCGAAAGTGTTGCTAGCCATTAGCAGTATTGAGTCGTAGGTCATGTATCGATGTTCCGTTAAATTTTGTTGTGTCTTTCTGAATGACATACACTTACAGTCTAAACGTTTGTCAAAGTTCAGCAGACATATAAATCGTAATGATTATTAAACGTTCCTAAAACTCAACAAACATGTTGGGTTTACGTGAAAATGGGTACGAACATAATACATGTAAATACATAGACTCTGGCCATTTCTTTTTGTTTAAAAAATAAATGAATTTGTAGGTTCTCAAATTAGTTGACAATATTTAAAAAAAAAGAGATATTGGACTTCCACGCACTAATAGGCCACCCTATATATGAATAAAATGTCTACGCTATCTGCTTACGCGTTTTACTAGTAAACGTACCTACTAGATGCTTAGAAAACTTACCACTCCTACTAAATACGGACTTCCAGCGTCCCCAAAGGCGTGTGATACCAATAGTTGAAAACCTTCAGCTGTGGACCGTCTCGTCGGCAAAACAACATACTAAAAATACAATTTCATTTTAATTCAAGGTGATAAAGGAATCGATGATTATATTATTAAATATATACAGTATGATGTATGATTTGAGGTCCCATTCGTAATTCAATAGATTTATAAGTAATGTCTAATCCATTCAAATTGCCGCCGTGATAGCGCGTCTAAGCCGTGAGCTACTAACGTACGACGTGTATCTTTCTATCAATTCTAAAATCATTATCTTTAAAACTATAGTCTTTGAGAAAGGATAAATGCACCCAACATATATGATAGCGCCATGTATGCTGTAGATAAAGGATTAATCATATTTATGTATCTTCATAAAAGATCAGTGTAGAATGAAACGACGTTGATTTGAAAGCACATATAACAAATTTAATTTACTATAAATTGGAAACATGAACTGTTAATTAATTATTGCGGTTTTATTGTATTTAAGGTTTGTTCCAACAGTTAGGAACCGTTAGGAATTTATCTGCGCATGAGTAGTACGAAAACTAGAACAGGTTAATTCGGAACGGTTCTGTACTGCTGTTGGAACAAACCTGAGATATACAACTTTACTTTTCTACTGATCTAAGAGGATTTGCATTATTATACTGCTGAAAGCCGGCTTCTAGTTATTACTTATTACGAAAGTGTGTGGTGGTGATGTGATCAGAATGCTCGATGTTATGTAAATATCGGTGACCTTCCTGTTGCAGGTCTATTTATACTTTTCTATACAAGTGAGGATTTCAAATGTGGGTGACCTGGTAATGAAAAGGGAGTATACTTTAATATCGGCTGTTGATCACGTAGCCCCCAAATTAAAACTGTCGTCAAATTTGTATCTCCGGTAATTTATAATCTGAAAGACGCAAATGGGAAAAGACACTCAAACACATTTAGGTACTTTCATCAGGCCCGGTGTAAAATCCACTACACCTTTCGGTCGTTTGGGTGGTGTCCACTGGTGGATACTTTCTCCACCAGCAATTTAGCAGGAGTGAATTACACTCAACATGCCCATAAAGAATAAGAAAGGAAGTAAACTAGGTAAATAAGGTTCGTTCCTATAGATGATGTTCCACACAAGAACCAACCTTTCTAAAGTAAGGGTAATCAATTTCTAGAATATTTAAGAAAGCATAATTTGCCAATTTTTCAAATGCGTATGGTTAAAACGTTTGGATCATGTTTTAAAATAAACCTATAACCATGCGAAAGTTAAAATCAAATGATGTGCAGTAAATCATTGCTAAATAAATGACAAATTACGTTATTTTTACACCGACTAACACAAAGCTTTCGTTGGTCTATTACACCACAAAACAGCTGATCATCTGGTGTGGTGTAATTGACACTGGTGGACACTACACTAATAGCGAACAAAAGAACTTACTAAGTTCTTAAGCCAACTGTTAGACACAAATATTTTTTATTAGGGGAGATGTGGCTCTGTTGCAACACATCTGCTTCACATTCGGAACATAGTGGCCTAACCGACAATGAGTTTTTCGGAAATTTTCTCATAGCAATAGGCAACTGTCGACTCAGTAACATCATTTCAGATCCTTGCCACATCCTTCCACCAACCTCCTCAGTGTGGCTAGGAAAGTTCAATGAACTGGAGTGGGGTAGAATGCCAATATACATGTTGTATCAATAGAACTAGGTGCGACTCTATGAGCGCATTCGTTTTTATTGTTCATCTCACTCGGGAGTATTTATAATGATCATCTTCTATTTCACATTGTTATTATCCAGTCCATAATCTGGTGGACTAGATAATAATGTAAAAATAGGAAGTGGTTATTATAAATACTCCCGAGCGAGATGAAAAATAAAAGGAATGCACCCACACAGCCACATCTCAAGCCTATTGACAAGCATTCTAGAGCTCGATTTTTTTTGTGCACATTTCGTCATAGCTATGCCACACTCAAAATAGCTAAATAAATGCAACAAGTACAAATAAGTAACACTAAGCTACTGAATTCAACTTGTATGATCGGTGATGAGCGGCAGGTGGCTTCAATCACGTTTAAATCTGTCTGACCACGCCTACAAACTCAAATTGATTTCTGCACAATATGACGAAGTGTGCTCTTCACAAAACAATCGAGCTCTACCACACTCTATTTCATTGGGAAAGTCTATAACGCCCCGTTCCCAATCGGGAGAATGAAACATACAATGTTTTTTCCCACGAATAGTTCCATAGTTAAAGTTTCTGCAACCCCGCACAAGACCGATCGACTGAGTGCATTTATTCTCCCTCCTTATTGGAAGTTTTAAACTTGGGGTAGCCATGTGTGAGTTGATTAAATGAAAAGGTTCTAAGGTGAGAATCAAAGGACCTTTTTATTGGGAAGTATAGTTCACAAATACTGTTACATTAAAAACGGAATTTGTCAAAGGTATTTTATTCTATTACTTATGAGTTTCAAGAATCACGTATGGAAGCCGCAAATAACTCCTCGAACTGTATATACATACAGGGTGTGATAAAAATAAATTATACCACATATTCTTGGGTCAAAAATAGGTCGATTGAAGGTTACTAAAAGTTCAGAAGGACAGTGACTCTCTCCAAAAACCTACAAAAATCGAGAAAAAATACCCCTACCTCGATTTTATTAGTCATTATATTCTAACACACCATATAAAATTTAAGTTAAAAAAAAAATCATTTAAATTTTTAACTTAAACACCCTGTAACTATTTTTAGGTGCACTTTTGTACATAGGTAAGTAAGGATCAATCGACTTATTTTTGAGCCAAGAAAATGTAGTATAATTTATGGCCACCCTGTATACCAGACATGTAACACTATAAAATTATGAAAGATAAAACTCCTAAAATACGTTTTAATTTGAATAAAATTTAAAACTGCAGTAAATTCTTTTGGGAATTGGTACTAGAGAGAGCGGTATGAAATCTTCTGAGTTTTAGAGTATTTTTGGATTAAAATGAAGACATCATGCTTTGTGAAGTGTTGCTAATTTTACGAGAATTGTTCGTTAAGCACCTCAAAATCATATTTTGACAATTTTGTTCCTTTTACAATTAACTCACTTAGCTTGGTTTAAAAATGTTCTGATGATCTTGCATTACAATAATCTCAAGCCACTAGACACATGTGAAAGTTGAAAATGTTTGTTCAATTGATTAAACAAAATAACATGAAGCTGCGGCAATTAGCAATCTTGCTAAAACATGCTTTTTCGTTATGAGATGGGACTGGTGGAAAACTCCTAAGAGTTATTGTCAAATGGCCTACAGATATCTGTGAAAATTAAATGTGTCTGGTCTTTATCTTACTCAGTTATAAGCAGGTAGGGTTAGATTTAGCATGGAACACTGCATCCTATTTGACATTTTATTCCCCTGATTTCCCCGTATCTTTGAATATCCCTATACCTTTGACTAGTTTAACCAGGTTCATGGGGCGTTCTTTCCAGTTCTACACCGAAAAGAGTGAGTCGTCGCCTAGCAAGAGCTTCATATTCGAAGATAATATGAGGTTTATTACTCTTAAATGCAGAGTCTACGTGTGATGCGATTATTGTGTAATCCCATCATATGAAGAAGGTGTTTTAGCAAGTAGTATCCCATTAGTAATCCCACAATAGTGCTATACTGTCTGTCGAGCGTAGAGTTCTGACTCCTCTTTGGCGAGTTCATGAACCTTTTCATTTCCTTGGACACCTTTATGTCCTAGTCGCCATGCTAGTTTTACCTTATTGTGTGTTGACAAATCATTAAGTATTCCAAAGTAGTTCCAGACCAGCCTTTATGGTCGCTTGGCTATCTGAGAGAATTAGGATGGTTTGTTTTTTGTATTTCCTTTTAAATTTTTCTCATACATACAACTCGATTGCAGAGGTATGTTTACCAGTGAGATTGTAATGTCGCATTTGGGTCTAAATCCATGTACACCAGAGCCTGTTCTCCTGTTAGTTTTAGATCCACCCGTAAACCATAAGAGATTCCTAAGCAAGTATTTCTCTACCTCCTGATTTATCATATTCCATATCTATTAAGGGATTATTTACTTCATGTGTTATTCTGATAAATATAAAGATCCAAATTCCATTTTCAGCAACTTTAGTCTCTTGTTTAAGAACTTTTATTTGAAACTGACAATAATTACTCAAGAAGTTTCAAAATTTGTCATCAGCTATGATTATGATATTTCAGGTACTTATTAAACAAACCCGGTAAAATGTAAATTAGATATATGTCATTTATTAAAAGGCATTCACATGACCATTTCCTCAAATTTAATTTTTACTGCAATATTTAAATTTTTATAATTTATGGTTAAATTTTCTGATAATTTAAAAAAAAAATGTATTAGAATGAAAAGTATACTTTTTAAAGCATTTAGAGTAGAAATAAGCACTCGTGAGATAGTTTTATTTTTAATTATATTCATGGTTAAAATTTCAAACAAAAATGTAAGTCTCTTAATATTCTTTATTTTATACTATTTGAATTGTTTGCACTTATTTTATAGTGAACCATGATTTATAAAAATAAAACAAGGTACCTCAAACTTTCGAAATTTACAATAATTCACAAAACAGCTCAACAAAAATAGAAAGCGGCATGTTTAAGAAGAAAAATACTAATACACAAATATGCTTTTAAATGATGTTTCAGTAAAACATATTCTTTCGATACAAAACAAGATGATGTACGGGATAACAGTCTGTGATAAATTACTAGGTATTTAAAATTTATACTAGAAAATCTATTAGGACTGGGAGAGTTCAAATGCCGTATAGTTGCATCGTGGTTAAGGATAAAACAATACTTAATAGAATGAAAAGTCATAAAACAATTGCTAAAGTCGTGTGCTTTAGTTTTTTTAGTATATAATTTATGGTTTTTTAGTAAATTAAAAACGTAAGTTTTCATTTAGAGGAAATAAACGATAAAAACTTGATTGTCTAAAATAATTTACAATATTTTACGTTTTTACGTTATTCTATGAATTTGTCATTAAATCACTTTAAATTATAACAGGAAAAGAAACACATTCCGAATTTAAACATAAATTTACATGATTTATTTGCTATGTGAAAAAGCAACATTTCTAAAAATATTTGCTTTAAAATAAAAATAAAGCAGAAAAATAAAGCTTCAAAAAAAAAAGAAGTAGGTATGCCAATTAGCAAAGAAGAAAGATTTTAAATCTATCAATTTTGTATATTTTTTTTTAGTAATAATATACCTTGAACCAAATCTCCCGTTTTTAGTTCCCCAAGAGTATTAAAGTAAATAATTACAAGAAAGCAAAAATTATAATCTTTATTAAATATTTGCAGGGTTATTTTTTTAATAAGAAAATAAAAAAGGTTGCGTTTTCAGACTAAAATAGTAGTTTGTGCAACAATAGTCGATACAGTTGATCATATCGCACGAAGACGAAGATTGAATACAAACAATCCACTTGAGTTGTACAGTATATTTTTCCTACGAGCCAGTAACCAAAATCTATAACTAGACTATACTCTGGATACTTCCTTAACCAACTGTGAGGAGGCTACGGTGCAAGGCGAAAAACTAGATATGAAGGTAAAAGGGCGATAACATTATAACTAGTAGGTACATAAACTTTAAAAATTGAAACCGATCTTAAATAGTTGGAAAATTTTAAGAAAACGTAGGAGGGATTATGCTTAATGGAGTCGAGTCCGATATGATAATAAAATTAAAACTGTTTGTAAAAGCTATCCGAATCTTGTGTCTCAATGCCAACTGGGAATCAGGTGAAATGATGTAAAACACTTTCACAAGGCCAATATGTAAGGGGTGATGTCCAAAAAAACCTTATAAAAGTTTTCGAACAGCAAGAATAGGTAGAACACAAATTAAAGGGCTTGCATCTAGGCCCACAAAGAGAATAAGAGAGACATTTTTCTTGCTTGTCGAGGTTATCCACAACCAGTATCAATCATTCAGTACATAAGAATAACAGTAGTTAATTAATCATCTTCAAAATAGTTATTTTATCTCAATAACCTGTATTTATTTTATAATTTTCGTTATCGAGTCGTAGAAAAAATATACTGTTTAACTCGAGTGGATTGTCTATATCGTACTCATACTTCGTCTTCTTGCGATATGGTCATCATATCCACTTTTGTTGCACACACTGCTTACCATAGCTTACCAGTAAAATATCATTGACTATTGCCCAATTTAGGTTCATAGTGATGTTTCCGATGAAGAAAAGGGTATACATTAAATAAATATTAGACATCGTGTAAGCGACAGCGATTACACAGGGAGCTGATATAATGAGTCCTACACCGCAAATGACAGGGTCAGCATATGGGTACTTTGGTATTAAGACATGACTTAAATAAGTACCCAGCACTAAGCCAAGTAAGCCCGCCACCATCGTTATGGCGCCAAAAAGAAATGTCGGTGTTGTACTGAAACAAGATTTAAAAGCCGATTTAGAAAATTAGGGTTTATTACGAGATAAATGCAAAAAAATATGTATAGTGTTAAAGTGTAAAATTCTTCCATGTACATGTTAAATGAACATTTAATAGTGAGAAAGGAGTATAGACAACCAACAATACGTCTGCAATGTGCAGCTTGTGAAAATGTCATTTCTATCACTCACAATGTAATAATTTTCTATACTTTTGTACTTGTTTAATAGCTGATAATCATCATTTGGATGGCGTTATGTAACAAAAATCAAACATTTTTTCCAGTGTTCCCTAGAGCTATGCGATTTTTCTTTAACCCTCATTTCGGATTTCTAATATACATTTTTCAAATATTTTCTTCAATGAACTTCGTTGTGGTTCGATTCTTTACTATATAATACCATCCATTTCATTTAATGCTATAAAGATCTAGTAGGCAAGCTAGTCATGTTATATTACTGCTTCTGTACTGTAACTGTAAATTATTGAGCTGTAAAATTTTAAAAAGATCACATTTAGGTGAATGTTCGTGATTTAATCTATTTCATATAACTTTTGGTATCCGGACTATCGATAATCGCATAACTTAATACGGGTGTTGCCAAATGATAATTTTTGATGTATTATAGTTAAAAACCAAAATAATAAGACAGTAATTAAATGTGTGAAGAATGCTGTCATATATTATTGCGGTAGTTTGAAGAAATTTTTGGAGGTTATGGAACAAGGGATTTTACAGTGATAGGCATATATGGCATCTGTCAGCATTCTTCACACATTATTGCCATTAAATTACTATCTATTATTTCAGTATTGAACTATAACTTAAGCATTTAACGATAGTGATGATACTACTATTATACGCTCATATACAACAATCTAATGCTAACATAATGAAGTAACATGGGTAGAAACATTTGTTGTAATACCTCTAAATGTTACATTGACACTGTTGCTAGGTTTTCATGAAATTAATCAACTGGTAATTTGATACTTTTTTAGCAGTCAAATATTATTTCGTAAACGAAAATTAGAGAAATTCGCCGTTATTACATATGGAACTTAGCGAAATTCGCCGTTATTACATCTGAAAATTAGATGAATTCGCCTTTATTAAGTTTATGATATACTGCAATGGTATACCGTGATAATCAACCTTTGTTTATAGTTGTTAAGGGAGCCACAACGAGCTAGCCCAGTAAAATTTTTAGAACAGTTAGGACAGAACTGTCAATCGTAACTGAACTGTCAATTGTAACTGAACTGTCATTATTTTAAGTCACATTCAGAAAATTTTATTTGATTTTAGTTTGTGAAACATAGTAAATTGCAGTATATCATAAAACGTTGTACGATACACGCCCGTTACCTGATCTCTACGTGCTCGCACGGTCATATAACGTGCTCGAGAGCGCCCGTAAATTAACGACCATTATTACACTTATAAAAAAATAGGCAAATAAGTATTAATGGCTAAGGCTAGTATTTATAAACAGATCTCCAGTGAGTCAGATTTGGTTGAGACGCCCTTGAATGAAATCAAAGTTCGGTTATAAGTTCTCTGAATTTCCAGATGGTTCCGGTGTTGAAATGAAATTTAGAGATGGACAGAAGCAAATCCATGACTGTAATGTACATTTACAAATTTGTTACTACCCATCTCTAAATTCACGCGATATAACCGAACTTCGATTTTCGTTAAGAGACGACTCAGCCGAGATCTGTTTAAAAATACGGACCTAAAGCAACTAGGGGTATAAATAAGGATAATTTCAAAAGGTCAGAAAAGAGAAGTAGAGGAATGATGCCCATAGTAAATAATGTTTTTAACAGTTGGGAGAAGCAAATATTGGTCTTGAACATAAGCTCTAATCTTGTGGACAATTATTTTAGAGTTATGAGTTAAATGGCAAACAACACCTGACAACAGGACTGCACTTAATGTATACTGAAGAAACTTATTTGCATAGTTCGCAACTACATACTCTATGATACAGTAAAAAGAAGAGAATAATTATTATAGGCACTCTGCAGGAGGTGCAAACTAGAAGATGAGACGATCAAGCATAAACTGCACGTTTGCCCAGCGCTCAAATTTATTAGAAGATTTGTCTTCAGGTTTTGTACACTTGCTGACATAAAAGAAACCTCTAATGAATTAAATTAAATTTGTAGGCTAGCTTGGAAGAGCCTATCAATTAAGGATAATGCACAATGGACCTAGGGAGGCCTAAGTTCAGTGGAGCAGCCCACCCTCCATTCCTTACAGATATAGATATTATAAGCCATAATAAAAAAATACTTTCAATTTTATCAAATGATGAAATGTATTTGATGTAGAATTAAAAAAAATACCGTCTTTTATTTGATTATTGTCTAATCTAATAAATAACACATTCCTGAGTTTAAAATCGCTTATTTCTTATATACAGGGAAGCTAAAAAGTCTGGAAACAGTTTTTTTAATGACTTATAATCAAGAAATTTATGTAACCTCTTTAATTTTTTAAATATCAACGTAGGTCTATTGATATATCACAGAAAATTTAACTGTTTCCTCCATTTTTGAAGAAATTTCAATATTTTTCAACATCAAGTAAAGTACATGTATCACACTTCGTTTTTAAGTAAAAAGTGTGGACAAAAAACATTGGTTAAGATTTGAAAACATATTGTTAGAATATATTTAGCGTATATGTTGGTTGCCTATATTTTTATTTTTATACTTTAACGTTTTTCATTAACTTTAATAAATGGAAGAACTTTATACCAAATAATTTATAAATAATAATAAATTTCATATGCAGAGCTGTCAGATTAGCACCGTGATACATAAGTTTGACACCTTTCGATTTTAATTATTTTTCAGTCAGTAATATACCCCAATCTTCTTAATATGGTCGATATAAATATGTACATTTTTTGAATTAAATCATATTATGAAAAATAGAAATTTTTAATTCAAAATGAGTGCATTGAATTATGGATTCTCAAAAATTGCTTGACACAGTCCACATTTGTCAAAACTTTCGGAAATAACATTAAATGGTAATTTAATTTTTACTTTTAAATGAAATTTCCAATTTTTTTATTGAAAATTCTAATTTATTAACACAACTGCTAAGACAGTACCCATCAAATCCCTAGAACGAATCATACAAATTAATAAAAAATTCATATGATTTGAATAGGATTCGAAGCGGCGTGTCGCTTACAAATTGTGTGACAGCATCTTGAACATGTTATTCATCCTATTAAATATCAGTAAGCTATAAGATTTACTTTACCAGCTAAGAAGATTCTATCTCCATTTTAAAAATGAATAAACCTAGTTACATGATATGGGTCAAGTAACATTTGAGAATACACAATGACACTTAAACCGCCACCTCGGACTTATCCCTTACCAACAAAATGTCGGCTATAATCGACCACGTCAAATTCAAGAAGATCTCTGCAAAAAATACGAGCGTATAACAAATAATGGAGTTGTGTCTGGCAGTGATACACACCAGGAACACCAAGGGAGCTGATGCCAGCAAACCGATGGCGCAAATGTTAGCATCTATCCGGTTGTACTTTGGACGTAGCTTTTGGGCTATTAAACTGCCAAGAGGTACGCCTATCAGACCGGATATCATTGAAATGATGCCAAACTTGTATGGAACGCTGAAAAAAATTGTAAGAATATGTAATAATAAAAAATAATTGGTAACTCCTACTAATTAATCAATAGGTAATAATAATTGTACGAGAACCGACTGTGTTATTACTGAACTCATCTGGCCGCAAGTACTTTTAATTAAATATTAACCAATTTTTTTTTAATGATTTCGTTCACTTGTTTTGAAGATAAAATAAAATTCATTTCAGACAGAGATGTGTAAAAAACTTAAGAAGTTTGAGTTGTAGTTTGTCACTTAGCTGCAACGTCTTGTGAACCAGATGTAAACAGGTACAACTTTGTTTAATTTATACGTTTATGACGTATCTTAATTAATTTTTTTTTTTGACAAATCTCGTATACGACGGATAAAATTTGATATCCGATGGTTGTATTTTAGGTTTTAGACTATGTTCGACTTTTTATGAATAATAACTTTTTCCTAAAATTAATAATAAAAAAGATTTTCATATGCCGCCAACTTACGTATAAGGTACTTTACTATTCAGCAAAAATCATATTTTTTGACAAACCTTTATACGGCTTAAAAAAATTGATATCTGATGGTTGCATTTAAAGTTTTGGTCCATGCAGACCTTTTTATCAAGAATACATATTTTCACAAAATCAATAATAAAAAAATTTCCTATATGGTTTCAACTTAGTGAGACATATTGTATATTAAATTAAAGCTAATTTTTATCTCTAGACGATGTAATGCGGTTGCCTATGTAAAAATGCTCCCAAATAAGGGTTGCTAACTGTTAAAAATACATAAAAGCGAGGAAAAGTCAGCACAACACACTGTTTATGAGACAAGGACGTAGTGTGCCAGCTATATGACGTTTTAAAAGTATTGTGTATACATTTATAGGTAAAGTGCTCAACTACTTTCATTTTTATTTTAACCACATCTTTTTAGAGTTCTTATACATCATGTTGCTTTATTTAAAATCAACAATACACATGGTGCAAGATATTTTGATGTTCAACAAATTGTAGGCAATGACAAAAAATTTAAGAAAAAAATTCAACTAAACGAATATTCCACCAGCTTTGTTAATTTGATGCGGCAAAAGAGATGGTGAAATGAGTTCAAATAATAATGGTTCGAGTTAAAAAAGTTAGAAACTAAAAAGATTTGAAATTAAAAAGGTCGAAAGTGAGAAAAGATCAAAATCACATATGATCGAAATTACATATAGTACGTTGATCAAGCAAAATAAAGATGGGACACTTAATTATATTTGGTCGTGAGAGGGTTAAAGAGAATAACTCGGTCGACGCTCCATGATTGGACGCATTGTTAACACCTCTACTGGTAGTGGAATAGTATGTATTGTTTCATATCTGTCTATTCAATAGCATCGTTTATCTATACCTTTCCCTGGAGTCAGTATTTAAAGTTAACGTATTGTAGATGAGTACAGTAATCACACAGTCAGATCTTAGACTAAAACCAAATACACACACAAAGTCTGTAAACTGGGGGGTCGATTCTCAATGAAAATTAATTTCTAATACATATAATATTCCTATAGTTTAAGTTTTCTGAATTCTCGAGCACAATAGGAGTCTAATTTCCCACAAGAGTGTCAATTTTAGTATGCGGATGATAATTTTAAGATTTCATATAAAGTGACCAATGGCAATTTTTAACATGTCAATCAAAATTGAACTGTTAGGTTATGGTCAGTTTGTCAGTTATGGTTCCTGCTTGTGAAATATACAGGGTGTCGTAAGTATTAAGCCATCGATATTTCCAAAAATAAAACAGCTATCACTTAATTACGCACTGATGGGACTCCTTGTATATGTTGTATAAACTAACATGTTGGTATAACTGTATAAGTAAATTTGTAAAAAAAAATGTATGCTTAAATAATACACAAGGTATTGCATTTGAAAAAATTGAATAAATTAAACTTAAAATTAGACATATTTTTGTCTTTGTTTATTAAATTAGGAAAAATCTACTAAATAAACAAAATTTAAAGACTTCTAACATTTGACACCATAAAACACGTCGTCTTGCGCAAACGCGACTTCTAAATCTTGTAGGATTATTAAATTCCCGATCCTATATTTAATTTTTTACAACTTCATTCCAGAATATGTAACCTATTTTCCTGTAGGATAATTGACTAAATTCCTATAGGAAAATCGACCCCCAACAAACCTAAAGTTGATGTTAGTGCCTAAAACCGCAAAAAATTACACGATTTAATTATTGACGATTTAATTAGTTTACTTTTTCATTTACAAAATAGAGATGTTTCGGGATATATTGCAACAGCTCCGCCTATAATGCGTCGAAGTGGGAGACACTGCACGAGGTTCGAAAATGAGTTGGAGTGGACGCTTCACGTGTCGCAATATATCTCGAAACTATTCTATAAAAAAGTGTAAACAATACATGATTAATAGAAATACATTAAAACAAATATCAGGGTAAGATCAATTTTAAACCATTTACTTTAAAAAATGTTATGCATTTTTTATTTTATTGACAATTATTACTGTTAATAGTTCTTTTTAGTTACTTAAATGTACGAGCTTTTTTATTAACTATTGTAGTATACAGATTTTATTAACAACTGTTATTGTTTTTTTTTATTATTATTATAATTTATATTTACACTAGTAAATAAGTTTTATCTTTTACTTTTTTTATTGTACCTTATGATTGATTAATTTTTTGGGATTTTAAGATATGTTTGTGTTTCAAAAATCGTGTGTGAATGTTAAATTTAATAAATGGAAAAATAAATTAATTTTTTTAACTGAAAATTATGTTTGAAAAATAAAGTAAGTTAATGTTTTGTTTACGAATCAGATTTTAAAATTACCTTTAAAAGAAGATTTCTTTAGGTCAAGTTTATCCTCACACAGCAAATCAAACAATTTGATCGTGGCTAGTGAGATAAAATAAATTTATGATAAAGTAAATGTTTAAAAATATCTTACGTTTGTCTAGACTAGAATATGTATAACTATTTAATAGCTGCCATTCTTTATACATTTAAGAAACCTAATTTCCATATGTTTAGTTTCAGCCAAAACTTTTTTGAATACTTACTCTGATGTATCTATTAAGCCATTAGTTTGCAATCGAATGCCTTTTTCAATAAATGATGGCCCCCACCATGATAGTGCACCAGCCACAAATGCCACACATGAAAAACCAGCAGTAGAATACATAAAACTTCGACTGAAAAAAAAATATTAATTTTTCAATTTGGGGGTTCAAAATAGTTTCCAATATTTGATAGTAAATAAAAATATTTGGGAATTTCCATAGAATTTGGTTTTCGAATCAATAACCGATAACTTTTCGAAACTTTAAACCGATTTTTTTAGTAAAAAAATACTCTCTTAAACAAGTGAACACATCTTATAGGCGAATCTAGTTTATTGATCCATATAATGAAACAGAACGAATACTCTACATATTTAAAATGAAACCTGAACGACGAAATACAGGGTGTCCCAAAATTATGTGTATACAGAGCTACTGTATGTTGGTGAGCAGAAAATAAGTTGATTGAGCCAAAATTACCTATATCACAAAGTGCTTCATTTGCCTGTGAGGAAGCTTCAAAATTGAAAGAAAATTTTCATTTTAAAAGCTTCGTCGATTTTTTTAAAATCCTACCATAAATGACATCCTATTTTTTTGAGGGCCGCCCCTGTTCGCTTAATTTTTTTTATGAAGAGCTGTAACATTTTTTGTCTCTTGCAAAAAACTTAAATCTCTTATGGTATTTGAATAAAAATTTTTATATGGACTGATGATTTCAAGAAAACAAAGTTGGCGGTTATAACTACCTCAACCAAAACAGTGTCGATTTTAACGTTATTACAATAAAAAAAAATCGTCATAACCTCATAACAATTTAAAGAGATGGATGATACATTTTTTTAAAATAAATGTTCATGCAGATTTCAATTCGGCGCAAAAAATTAAAGTGTACCCTTCTCAAAATGACAGATCAATTCATATAGATTTCACGACATTTTGAATCCTACCTCATAATTGTTCAATATTGTCGATAGGAACTTCATAAACTTTGGTTTTCAAGTGACCCCAGATAAAATAATCACAAGGATTACAGTCCGGGGATCGAGGTGGCCACTGAATAGGAGCATTCCGACCTCTGCCAATCCATCTTCCATTGAATTGTTCATTTAATTAATCTTTCACAATGCGGGAAAAATGAGGTAGTGCACCATCGTGGAGTTGACGTAACTTTTGCTTTCAACAATGGCTCTTCAATTAAAATAGCTAGATACTAAATTTTATAAAAACGAACGAAGCGTTTATGAGTTATTAAAAAAAATTGAATTTTTTTTTCAACTTTGAAGCTTCCTCATAGGCAAACAAAGAATTTTGTGATCTAGGTAATTTTGGCTCAATCAACTTATTTTGATCTTAACAACATACAGTAGCCCAATGTACACGGAATTTTGGGAGACCCTGTATAACTTCCTGAAAGACTCATATTTACAAAATTAATTAAATCTTTTTATGTGCACTTTTTTGCTAAAATATTGTTACTAATTATAAACACAATAATTTACTTACTTGTGTACAATGTCCTTAATATCTTCGCCCCAGGGCGTTGTTTCTAAATGTCCACTGATGTATTCACTTTGTCCTCTTTCAGGATCTTCTAAGATGAATATGATGAGCAAAACTGCTGCTAAACCCAAAATGGGGGTTACCCTGAGAGCCCATTGCCACTGGCCGAAAATTTTGGCTGTTTCTGAGCCCACTATGTATCCCAGACCGCTAAAAAATAAATATGTTTAAATAATTTGCACTTTTTGGTTTACCGTCAAAATTTAATAAAAGTATAGAAATTAAAAATATGTTTATGAAACCTTCTTAACCACATGTAGGTGAAAGATTAGTTGTACGAAACACGCCTCTGTGCAAGCGTGAGCATTTAGTAACAAAGTAGTATTTAAAATGCAGCCACACTGGATGTAACTAATTATGATCAGAATAATATTGATGTTAACCTTGCAGGTGTAAACGGTTTCATCGCCCTATATCACACCACATAACAGAACAAAATCATTGGTAAACAAAGAGAAGTAAATCATAACAAACCAGCGAATGGAATAACTTCACCTCTTTTCAGTAACGGAAACTGTTTTTTATTTAAAACACAGATTAGGAGATCAACTGGACAACACAACCCTTTTTATTATTTTTCTATGGCATAACCTGTATAACTTAAAAGTAGTAGGTGATGATAGATACAAGTCGCTTCGCCAGTAACATCTACCATTTTATTCTTCCTCCATGCATCTACCTCTATAATTGAGGAAAAACCCTAGATATACTATTTTTTTTAACGTTGAAAGTGTGCCCATGGTTATAGTATACATTTTCCGGAAAATACTCACTTTAAACGTAATTTTGAGAAAAGTGGCTAAAATTTTGTTTGGTAAAGGGAATTTGTCTAAAATAATTATACTAACTTCTCACTTTTCCAAAAAGAAGTGATTCAAGTTATTTATTTTTTTTTTTGTTAAATATACTAATACTGCCGTGTTAATTTAAATGGCCGTATCTGTTTAATACTTGAACGTGAGAAAAATAGATTTTTCTGGGCCATCCTGGTTTTTCAAATATTTGATGCATTTATTTAATGGATGTTATTTAAATGGCATTTGTTTTTATGTTACAAAATGTAGTACAACACAAAGTAGAAAAATCGTACTTTTGACAGATACGTCTTTTTCATCTAACATTGTTCATTTATTTATTGTTTCAATTATTTTTTTGTTAACAAGTTTTTTAACAAAATAAACTTATTTATACATATTTATAAATAAAACTAAAAAATGTGAAATATATAATATTTATTTGAACTATAAGAAGTATCAAATGGCAATCCATTTTTTAATGATATCATTTTTGCAATGAACATAACGGGAAGAAGGGAGACCAAAGACGAAGTATAAAAGGAAGCAAGAACAACAACAACCGAAATTCGAACTATAACCGTAAATCTATTTGGATTTACAGCCATGGTTTTACTTTATTACAACTATGGAAAGTTGTATAATTTGTTTTCCATTCAGGAGAATTTTGAGTATAAAATGAGGTATGGAGCGAATTGAAAAACCCAATTAAAATATAAATAAAAAGATTCAACTAAAAATATTTTAGTCTAAGAGAAATTTAAAAATGTATAATTCTTTTATATAAATACTTCATTTAGCGAAATAAGTGTAAGAGTTTTTGTGGGTTTTGAAAGTTAGCGTGTCTGGATGATTGAAAAAAAAAACAGAGGATATGTATACTGAAAAAGGGATAATTAGTATAATTATTTATTAAAATTGCTGGTATTAAAAAGGTGCCCGAACGCGACTTTCAAAAAGTTGACCATCTACCCTCTACCACCTTAATTTGAAAGTAAAGAAAAAATATATTTTCATAAAGACAGCCAGTAAAGACTCGAAATAAATATGAGACCATATTATTTAGATTTTCTTTTTCGTCTACTAAGAACTGTTTTTGGATTTTGAATTCGAATTGTTGGATATTTCGGTAAATTTCTAAAATATCAAAAAGAAATCTTTGGTAATTTTAAAAATGCATAAATTATTTTTTTTACTAGCCAATTTGCATTTGCATTCACAATTAAACAAAATATATTGTGCAGCAATAAAATCCAAATATTTTATTTTTAAAATACATTAAAAGGTATATTTGGCTTTGAAAAGTAATACCTAACGTAATCGTAAAATGTACCAAAACGATATTAAAGACCGACTTCAAACACTAGTTAATTGGTGTCCTATCTGTATTAAAGGCAGACGGTTTTTCCTTGTTTATTTTTCTGGTGCTTAACCACTACCAGAACACGGAAAGAACAACATTCATATGCTTTCAGAATGGTTCTAATGAGTATACAAGGTATTCTTTTATCTTTTCTGGTTTATTTTAAGACGCGGCATAAGTCAATTACGAACCGAGTATTTTTTTTGTTTCTTTATTCCATGTTACTAGTGAACTGGTTCCAGGGGCGCATATACGGTGGGTAATTACCCCCAAGAATTTTTAAAACCAACTTTTTATAGGTACTAAAATGTATTATTATCAAAAATAAAGTCTTAAATATTACCACTACCCCCCACAAGACTTAAACTTTATTACTAACTACTACCCCTCCCAGGCTTAAACTCTGGATGCACCACTGACTGGTTCACTATGTGGTAACCAAAATAGAAAATAAGGGTAGACCCATTATGATAATAATGATTTGTAATAATAGATCACAGGGGCGTGGAATGAATGGGTGTAAAGAGTCGTTGTATCCAAAGATCGGTGGCCTTAGGTTCACCGCACTCTGTGACTAAAAGTAGACGAGATTTATGAAATTAAAAAATATTTACTATCTGGCATCGCCTTCTATCTTTAAACATCTAGACCAGTGGTTCTAAAAACTTTTTTGGTAACGGAACCTTTTTGAAAAGTAATATATTTGACGGAGCCCTGAACACATTTCGGAAAAAAAGTCCTCCTTGCTCTAGCCTCTTGCTAGGTCCCTCGCATTTCTTTGCAGAGCCCCTACAACAAAATTATCAAAATCATATACGCCTTCCTCTGCTTGACTTCTAAAAACCGAAAATACCAAAATCATATATGTATACTCCTTCCTCTCTTCCTTACCTCTAATAAAATTAAAAAAGGTCCCTCCAGCCGAAAATACCAAAATCATATACTCCTTCCTCTTCCTTACCTCTAAAAAACAAAAAAAGTGCTCCAGCCGAAAATACTAAAAACTAATTGGGCAGTAAAAGAACCGATCATTGGAACAATATCTTGAGGCTAAAACAGGCTAAGATACTTTGGGTGAATATAACCAGAAAAGATCGGAAGCCTGTATCTGCACGAGCAAAAATAGGCTACGCACTGTAACAGGGATCCTTACAGGGCATTGCGGACTCAAAGAACACCTTAGTAAACTAAAATTAGTAGAAGATAGTGAGTGCAGATTCTGTGAGGAGGACAAAACCCCCTTCACATTCTGACTGAATGTGTAGCACTCCAGAATCCAAGAGCACTATACTTAGGAGCATACTAAATAGAAGAGGGCCATTTACCTAACTTGAAGCCACTCCACATCCTACAATTCCCTGAGAAGATAGGATTGGAAGGGTCGTTATAGGCATCAAGACATTTCCTTGCTGCATTAGCGACAGAAGGGGACACAATAGATGTTTTAGGTCGCAGCGAATTAATACCCCATTGAAATTTGCAGTTGAGATGTGACACATTGATCCAATTATATTATAATTTCAAAATACCACTCTAGTCGAATACGAGAGAACTGGCTACAGGACACCTATTCACGAACTCATGAGAGTAGTCCTACACGACACTCTATTACCAGTGTTGCCAGATAACCAAAATCAAATTGTTGTACAATGCTGTAGAAATTATCGTTTTTTTTTTCTTCTTGATTTTATCGTATAAAACTGACCTTACTCGTGTGATGTTATCGGAGGATGGTTAATTTAAGAGTTTCTGGGGTTAGGATTAGGGTAATTTGATAATAATTTTATTGAAAAAACATATAAAAAAACATATAAGAAAAAATAACACTTAAACTATTCTTGTTCAGCTAAAGTTTCCAAAATACTTTGTTCTTCTTGTAATCCTTTCCGATTTAGATCTTCCAATTGTTTTTGTCTATATATTTTTAAAGATGTCATGAATTTTATCATTTCATCTGTAGGTTTGAAACATTATCCATAGGACCCTGCACTTTCGTTATGTAAAGTTGCGAAAAGTAAAATTTTCCAAAACTTTGGTATGTTATTGTACGTAACCCAAAAATGTCAATAGGCTTAACTCAATCAATCCTATGACGAGTTCAAGTTGAAAATTGTCTAGTTTTTCATATTCTTTTTTTACTACATGTTTCAGTAATATATACGTACAAATAAAAATATTTATATATTGTGATTTATTCGTGAAACACCAAGTAATAAATATTTTAAACTGTTCCTTTTAATGGACATCCCACCAAAACTTATATTAAACTTATATATTCTACATAAAGACAATCTAGCTTTTCAGTTTGAAGAAAAAATAACTAAAATCAACAATTTTCCACTGTAACGCTCTATACCTCTGGTCATAGTATCGGATTTAAAATTCATACTTCTTAAAACGGTGTCAAAATTATTATATACTGAGCAAATGGTTACATTTGGCCAGGGAAATTTTAGAATACGTTTCCCAAAAATCAATTCATAAGTACAGAGTTTTAAATTAACCATTAAAATAATAACTTTATGTTGTGGTTCTTACTATAAATGTGTACTGTGTATTATTTTGTCGCCAAAATACCATATTGAGTAGTACTTTTTGAAAGTATGCTTCCCTGACGTCACAGTAAAATTAGTAAAATTGGTCAAACATTTGTGAATCACCCTGTAATTAAAAATATTTTGAATTGTACGTATGTAATAATAAGAATGACTTTATTCTACACTCTGGCTATGGCTCTTACCGTAATTCTAATATTCGTGAATAAAGGCAGTCATTATACAAGGTGTCTCATTGAGATTGGGACACAAAACAACTGAAGATTCTCTGATCAAACGAAACATGTTTAAATAAAATCGTTTCTGAAATACAGGACGTTAAAGTTGAAAATTCAAAAATTATTAATGACTATATTTTTTTTATTTTTTAATTATAAAAAATTCGGCAAACATTTTTGGTAACATCTTCATCTCCTCTAAATTTTACGCCAATGTCCAAAAATTTATTTAGATATTTATAAATTTTTTGATATTTTTTAAATAAATCATGTACTCCTGTTGGGAACTCATAAAGTGATTGGTTTTTGAGATATTCACACTCAAAGGTGGATATTCCTCATTTTGGTTAATTTTTTAAATTTGTAATTTTTGATTATTTTTAATTTCCAACTAGAGCACATGATTTGTTAATAAACACATAAAAATTTTTTTTGAGAGTGGCCTAAAATTTGGAAGAGATGAAGGTTTTAACTGATTTTATTACTGATAGGTGTATTTTATGACACCAAAAACGTTTGCACAGTATAAGTAAAAAAAATCCCAAATTACAAAATTAAAAAAACAAAAAATTAAAATGAAAAATTTCCACCTTTGAGTGTAATATCTCGAAAACCAATCACTTCATGAGTTCCCAATAAGAGTACATGATTTATTTAAAAATATAAAAAATGTAAAAGTATAGCCCAAATAAGTTTTTGGACAGTGGCGTAAAATTTAAAAGGGGATGAAGGAAGAATGCGTTACTTATCCATGCCATTCGCCACTGGTAAAGTTTATTTAACAGATTTTTTTACTGATAGGTGTATCTTATGACACCAAAAAAGAATTTAATAAATTACACTGAGAAATAAAAAAATTATAGCCATTAATAATTTTTGAATTTTCAAATTTAACACCCGGTGTTTCGGAAACGAGTAATATTTTACATAAGCATGTTCCGTTCAATCGTCTTATTTTTAATCAGAGAATCTTCAGTAGTTGTTCTGTGTCCCATTCTTAATGAGATACCCTGTATGTAAAGGTATAAGTAGTATGTAATTTTTTTATAATTGCGGAGAAAAATAACTTTATGTTAAATGGTAATAGGTCTAAAGTTCTCTAAAATCGGTTTAACATAAACAGGTATGGTAAGTGATTGTATATAAATATGTGTAATACAACATAAACGATTAATAATATTTACATGTTCCAAATTGTTGATAAATATACCCGTCAAAGGTCGAATTTTGCTTTCAATTACAAAATTATTGATTGTTGTAAATTCAATGATGATCTTTTTTAAAAACTATATAGAATGTTTCATTGTTCATAAGTTTTTAAGTGAGGTTTTTTTTTTTTTTAATAAAAATATGTAAAATAATATCGCCGACAGGTGACAGGTGTTACCTGTCATCGCTGTCACTTCAACCGCCTAAAGATGGTGTTTATTGAAAAATAAATTTAATTGAATTTTAAACAAATATAGCAAGCATGGATTTAAATCTTCACAATGTTCAATAAAAATATTTAGAAAATTTAGCAAGGTGGGACGCACCTAATTATTTTTATTCATGAAGATGACTGCTAAACTTTATGGATATTCATTGTGACTGTACGTATTTTTATTATTAATTTTTCAATCTTCCTCTAAATTCAAACCAATTTTCAATTATATTCATCACATATTCTCCCTTTTTTAATTTTTAACTTATCTTTAAGTGTAAACAAAATCCAGTTCGGACAATGATTGGGCTTAACCCCTTTGGAGGTTGACTTGAACAATAAAGGGTTTAGGGCCTAATCATTGTCTCCAATACAAGATTTTTTCTAAAATTTGTAAAAAAAATTTAACTTCTGTCTATTCGAAAAAATATTTTTTTAAATTAATTATACTGACTCAAATCTCTAGTGTATATTCACATATGTTACATATTTACACCCTCAATTCTTTGCATATGAGCACTTATGATGGCGTTATGCCGAAAGCGCTTTACAATTTAAATAAATAAATAATTTTACACGAAATACAAACCCTTTTTTGCTAAAAAAATTTACATTCTATCATGTATTTTTTTCTTCTTAAGGCAGACAATTTTAAAACATTTTCTTTTTTAGAAAGTGACAATGTTTTTTTTTATTAGTACCAAAGACTCTATAGGAAAAAGAGTAGTACCAATGCATACAATGAAGATAAAGCGATTTAGCCATACTAATAAAATTTCACAAAGGTTTCATCATAACAGCAAAATATAAAAAAAATTATCAACTAATTATATTTTTTACAGAAAATATTTGTATGAAACGTTAGATCAAACATCAAACAGAACAAAATAATACACTTTATGTACATAGTGCATATTACACATAAAATGTTTACTCGGGTGTGTATAACATCCTCTTTACAAGCGGTAATAACTTTTCTTTCTGTAAATCACCGCAGTGAGAGGAATTAATTTTCTGACAGGATACTCAAACATACTGTTTTCTTTATTTACTCCTCTTTGTTAAAAGAATATAAATATAATTTGTATAAAAAACTATGAGTGGCGTATCAAGAAAGCATGTTAACCAAAGTAGATAAAAAATAACAGCTTTATTAGTATGTATACAGTATGGATGATTGTAGAAAAATTATTCAAGGAAATTCAAAGGATTAAAAGACAAATAAGAATCTGACAATAAAGAAGGGCATGCAACTACTTAAATGTGATCATCTTGAACAAAATCAACCATATAAAATTATTTTTATTAGGTCCGAAAAAGGTTGCCATTTAGTTAGTTATAATATTGAATAATTTTATGTGGAATTGATTTTCTGTATTATCTTATAATTTTGTGCCAGAGATAGCAAAATTAATTCAATTAAAACATTTCAGAACAAAGTATTGCAAAACATAGTGAATGCACCTTGGTATATGCGCAATGCAAATCTTCATCGAGACCTTGCAATTCCAACAATAAAAGAAGAGACCAAAAGGTTTGCTAACAATCTTGAGGCCTGACTTCGTCCACACATTAATGGCTGCTGGACAGTTAGGGCCATGTTCACGATTGAAGAGGAGCAGCCACTTGATTTCGTGTAGTGTGTTGTGTATGTGTGAAAGTAGAGCACAGTGTACGAGTGTTATCAGAACGATTTAATGGAAATCCATGGATTGACATTAGTTGATAAGTACTTATTTTAAGATTGTTTATTTCAGAAAACCATGAATACATGTTAGCCCGCGAGACTAGTTTCAATGGCAGGCGCTATAAAGAGACAACAAAAAAATGTCTTACAATTTAAAAATAATTTCATTCACTTGGAGAATTTCGCTCACAAACATTATTTAAGAACCCATCTATGTCATCACAAATTTATATTGGATGGGTAAGTCTAAGAATAAAAGTAGTAAGAGCTAAGATAGAAGGAAATAAAGCTCATGGCAGACCAACAAATAGGTAGATAGATTTAAGGAAAAAATTAATGAAATACAGAAAAATTAAGCTAAAACTAGAGTGAATTAAAGAAAATTGTAGAAGACACAAATAAAAAATTAATATATGGATACTCTTCTACTATCCATATGTAGTAAGGACGAAAAAAAAAAGATCAAAGGATAACTTGTAACCACTACGCATATCAGACTACAATCAAAAGACTTAATTGAAGGGTATCGGTTTCATTAGAGGCGGAAGGGGTTTTCTTAAATATATTAAAGGAATTTATGTCGGAGTTTGTGAAACAAAACAATATTTTACTATCCTTCATGCATATTGAAAATGTAAATTGAAAAATGTGTTAACCTAAGAATGCTTACCTTCCTACTGGAATGGCAAAATAGAAAAATGCCAACATTTTTGATCTGATGTTTCCCACAAAATAATCACTAATTATGGTTGGGGCTATGGTTGAATAGCTGGCTTCTCCTACACCCACTAAGGCACGGAAGAATATAAACCAGCCAAAATGCTACAACAAAAAAAATAAAGATAATAATATTGGTATTTATAACTATTAAACATGTAATATTGACATTCACAAAATATTTTTTTTCTACAATCACTATCCAAAGTAGGTAGGTTTTCGCACTTCGAAATCCAACCGCAGTTTTTTTCCACGAACTGGCATTAAATGACAGCTTTGTTGCTGGCTTAATTTAAATTAACTTAAATATAATAATATTTCTTTTTAATAAATGATTTTCAAGTTATTTGTACGTAGTTTCATGTCTTTTGTTATATTATCCAAGTGAACATGGACTTTGAATATCATTTGCTTTTTTCATGATTAACGTAGGTATAGGCAACACATTATACGCCACTTACGACAAATGTTCAGTTTTTATTTCTTAAAAAAGTGGGATCGTAGAAAAAATCTTGTGAGCATTTTGAGTAAAAAGTTTCTGTCTCAAGTGACAAAGTATCACTTTTCGCTCTTAATACACAAAAACATGTTCACGGTTAAAGACAACTGTTTAACGATGACTTCATATTCACGATTTTGTTTTCTCGTAAAATAGTTTGGACTTCGAGTTACGCAAAAAGGTACTTCGTGTTACATACAAGATTTTTTTCTAATTTCGACTAAATTATTTATAAAATTTGGTTTGATAAAAAATGACTAACCACTATTTTTTTGTACTTCTAATCAAAGATTTTAGAAAATGAATATTTTAACAAATTGTTGGGTAAGAAATGTTTGTTTTTTATAATTTACATTATTTGAATGAACACAAATAGTTACTTCAAATATTTTTTGAAAGAAGATTTGAATTAATGTATGTTACACCTATCTCCATTGTTAGTTGCATACCTTAGTAGTAGTTACTATCGATAAACGTCAAATCGTTTGAAATTCATAAATAAAGCTAATTACAAGTATAAGTCATATCAGTGACGTGATTTGTGTGAAAGTGTTTTGATTATTTCGTACAAGCTTCTGATGGATAAAGACACTTTAAAATAGTGACCTAACTAGAATTATTAATAATCGTAAGTTTGCTGACGAAATTAATTTTTCTATAGCCAGCTTTATAATAAGCAATGTATATATGGATGTTAAAACGAAAAAAAAAGGTTAATTTTATTTTTATTTTCGCAACTGGTGACATAACCAGTTACATAATGTTAGTTGCATAAAGTAGACCATTTTGACATTTGCTTCGATTACAAAAGATGTCACTTTATATGTCAAAATTATAAAAATTATATTTATCATACTCACAAGTAACCAAATAACTATTACAAGTTTATTTTAGACTGATGAAACATTATGATTGAAAAAAAGCTTCCTTTTACTTAATAATGGGTGTATCTTATAGTGGTATCCGAAGTTTTTTTAAAATTATTTTATAAAACAGTAAATTTTTTGTAGTAAATGTTTTTTTTATTGAAATTGGATCCATTACAATTTATTTGGTCACTTTTTGAAGATGACATCGGCCAAGTGGCCACCTCCGGACGCCACACACAAATCGGCCCGTTTTCGGCATTTTCCATCACTTTTTGGAGTGTTTCGGGTTGATTGGCAGCGATTTCTCGGCGTATGTTGGTCTTAAATTGTTGAAGAGTGGCTGGTTTATCGACATAAACCTTTCCCTTCAGGTATCCCCACAGGAAAAAGTCAGGTGCGGTCAAATCTGGTGAATGAGCCGGTCAGTCGAAATCGCCGTATTTCGATATCAATCGATCCGGAAACATGACACGCAATAAATCCATTGTATGGCATGTTGCGCCGTCTTCCTGGAACCAATAGTCGCCCATGTCATGTTCGTCCACCTCATTTGCCACAAAATCGCGTAACATGGCCCGATATCGCTCGCCATTAGCTGTTACCATGGCACCGTTATCGTCTTCGAAAAAGTACGGGCCTATGATCCTTTCAGCACAAACACCGCACCAAACAGTGACTTTGGAGGAATGCAACGGCTCTTCAAAGATCATTTGAGGATTTTTAATGCCCTAAAACCGGGTATTTTGCGTATTAACAACGCCACAGAGCGTGAAATGTGCTTCATCGGTCATGATCAAACAGCTCCAAAAATCAGGTTGACCGGCAAGGATGTCCTGCATATTGCGACCGTATTGGATGCGTCGCGGCCTATCAATTGGCAATAATTGTTGAGGGTTTGTATTTTGTAAATCCACCCTTAACAACCGCCACATGGACATGGGGCACATGCCAAACTGCTAAGCACGGTGTCGTATCGAAACTGGCTGACGCCCCGCGACGTCGGCACTTACGGCTGCTATTGCTTCCATACTCCGTCTGGTACGCGGCTCGCGGCTTATTCCGACGGACAGAGGTTGCCAAAGATCCTGTGGCATTAAATTTTGCAACCAAAGCACGAATAGTCTTCGGGGTAGGCGCATTTTGGCCACGATACCTCGCTCTGAACGCGCGTTGAGTCAGCGTAACAGAGGAATTTTTTTGAAAATAAATTTTTACAATTTCAGTACGTTGTTGTGGTGTAAGGTAATTCATTGGTAAAATTGTACTGGACTGACGTTTCTAAAACATTAACAAACATGGCGATATGTTACCTGGTTGTCAAATTATTTGAAAAAAAAAAAAAAACATCGGGTACCACTATAAGATACACCCTTTATTATTCCCAAAAAGGCTTATTAGAAATTCTATTGAAATAACTTTTCTAATAATTACATTAAGATAACAGTATAAAAACTTACATCCATAAATGAGCCCGCCAATGTGGTAAGACTCCATAGAAAGACTCCTCCAGCCATTATCCACCGTCTGCTGTATCTGTCCCCCAGGTATCCAAACAATGGGGCGAATAGCATATAACTAAGTACAAATACGGTTTGCAATAGTCCACCCTCATCATTGTTTATATGGTAGTGATCTTTTACTTGGTCTAATATACCTGGAAACAAAAAAAAAGGATAAAAATCTACTCTTACTCGTTTTGTTTTAATTGAAAAGTAGAGAAACAGGAGAGAGGTACTAATGATAATTTTTTATTATAATTTTTAAAGCAATTTATATTCGAAAAAACAGATACTTGAACAAGATCCATTTTAAATTTCTCAACAAACTACTAGCAGCATCGTCAAGGGGTTATCTGTGCAATAGTATGAAAGCGATGTTGCCGGTTTCCGTAAAATTTCATGAGATGAGTGTTATTTCAAATTCATCTTGTCCTAATTTTTTATTAACCGACTTCAAAAAAGGAGGAGGTTCTCAATTCGTCGCAATATTTTTTTTTTATTTATATTCAGCGATAATTCTTTAACACGGTGTTCGATTTCAATGATAGAAAGAGGGTACTTCAGGGGTGGTCCCATATAAATTTGGTCAAAATCTAATAATTGGGTCCATGAGAAAATCCTCACTCTTCATTTTTTATTTATGTTTAGCGATAATGCTTTACCACCTTGTCCGATTTATATGATTCTTTTTTTGTTAGTAAGGGGGTACCTCAGGGGTGGTCCCATATAAATTTGGTTAAGATGTGGTGATGGCATCTGCACGTTTTTGAAACGGTTTTTTTAAATTTTTAATTTCTAATACTTGTCAATCAACATGCGCACCATACCATCCATACAATGTCCATACTATTGCTGGGATTTTTAAAAGGAGTTGACAACCTCGTAAAAAATGAAAAACCGTGATGGCGGAAGGCAAAATATTATAATGAACTGATTTTTCGAGAGTATTCTTGTTCCGTTCCTAATTGCTTAAATAAGTATTATTCTAAAATTCAGAAAGTTGGATATTCAAATATTAACCCTTTTTTCATTTTCCTTCCGATATTAAAAAATTGCCAGAACTGGTTTAAGACTTTAAATTTAACTTTAGATAATAATACTCGCTATCTTTGTGAAGACCATTTTTGCCTGAGTCCTTTAGTAAGGTTTCCTTAAAACGTATAATGCTAGTTGGACATTCTATACAAATTTCATTAGATAATTGTGCATCCATAAATAAAAGTAGTCAGAGTCAGAATTTTAAGTCCTAAAGAGAAAAAGTTGTATTTTATTAATATTTGATAAGAGACATTTTTCATATGTACACTTTTTGTTTTGTTTTTATAGGACACACCAGACACCCAACAAAATATGGTCCAATTTTCCAAGAATGGGGGAGACTACCTACTATTCATTTTACTTACAATTGTTATTTAATATTGAGCTCATTACCATGTATGTATCACTACATAATACATAATTAAAATATATGTTTCAAATATTTTATTTTAATGTAAATATTTTTTGGGGTTTTATTACGAAAAAAAACTTATATTTATGTTAAATACATTATTTTGATGTAAATATAAGTTTTTTTTAGAGTAATAAATGCCAAAAAAATTAAATAAATAAATTATATTTGAATGAACCGCGGTTGGCTTAAAGCTCTTCTTTTTTTTTATTCTTCACTTTCTTATTTACCTTCAAATAGTCTGGAGGCTTTTTTCAAGAAGTATCTAATGGCGAGTGTTAAGCCTGATAGAAACAATAGATCTTTTTACACATACATATTAACTGGGAGCATAAAAATGTTAAAGTGACGAGGCCTAAAACCTTGGTTAGCGGCATTAATTTCATTGGGGTAAAACATTTACATTAAAAAAAAGCGTTAAAATAAATTAACTGTAGTATTAACACTAAAATTTTCCATAAAAAGCAACTTATTTTCAGTGATTTATTCTGGGTGCCCCAAAATAGGACAACAATCGCACCCCGAACCAGGACGTATTGCTATCTTTTTAAGTAAAAAATAACTAGTCATCCTCACCTGAAAAATGAACCCGATGACGATTAGGTAGGTATCAACTAGAAGCATGTACTTAATGGTTATGAAGCTAATTTTAACACAAGAACAAAGCACCAATCGAAAAGCAGCAATCAAATATAAATAGACCACACAATTAAAATTCAAATTAAAAACTGTAACTATAAAAGACAGATACTCTAAAAGCGCAAAAGATCAGAACCTAACAAAACGAATAACCGTAATAACCTTAAAATCACACTAAAAGTTCAAAAACTAGTACTGTAAAATCATTAATTACATTAATAATGCGTATGCGTCGGAGTATCGCAAATGTCAAAAGTACAATGTTTTCATGAAAATTTAGCTGTTTTTAGCAGCATTAGAGGACCATTTCTACCACGCGCACCCAACAATATTGGCGTTCCACAGTTCACTGTCTTTTCCTCACATCTCTAGTATAAATGATTTGACATAACGAATTTAACAATAATTATAATTCTAAAACTAAACAGTAATAAGTGTTTCGTGAATTCTAAATAAAATAATAATTATATAAAAGTGCAAAAGGAAATATAATTTATCCCCTATTTTCTTTTGTAATTTCTTCAATTATTATGTTTTATTTCTATAAATAAACCAACTGGTGAGGTGAAACATTGTGATATATGATTTTATTATTTATGTGTCCTATGCGTACACTTTAATATACAAAACACCTGGAACATTCTTTAAATAGTTGTGGTCGTAGGAAAAATTGTGTACATAACTCGTTGGAAAGTGTATTTTATGCACTTGCCAAATATATTATCCTTACTCACAGATTAATCAGACTATTTTTTACTTAACTTCAGAATACCTCTTACTACTAGAACTATTTTTATCACTGAAAAAAAGGGGCCGTGTTTTCGAATGTTCTGACGCATTTTCGGTTTCAACCCATCGGACCCCCCTCTAAATATATACAAATTTTGCTTAGAATTGCTAACCCTATAATTTTCTATCCGTGTTTGCTGACTGGACAAATAAATACCGAAAATCTCCTGGACTATACAGTTAGTAGATAATGGTGATGACTTCACAACAAATATACTTTTATCAATAACTAGTTCGGGATGTGGTTGTTGGTTGTTCCAACCAAATTGCCCACTCAAATAATACTCATTTAAGGTGAATTTAATAGTACAGAAACAGTCAAGGGTATTTCCAGTACTTGGCAACACTTTTACGGAAATAATTGAAATGCAAATTTGTATGAAGCTGCACTCTGCGTAACATTTTTATATTTGTTGAAAATACATATGTTGTTTTTAAATCGATAAATATTACTGGTTCAATTGTAAAAGAATTTGTTTTGAAAATTTGTGGCTTTTATATCTACTGCATTCCAATGCGCTTTATGCTAGTTCAAATATAAAGAATGATTCACAATTTTTGTTTTTTTAAAGAAGGCCATGACCGACAAAGACAGAGATATAAGTCATGTCCACGATAACTACGCACTGCTCTGAATTAAATCCAAACTAACACTTAAAAAGAAGAATAATTGTACGCTTGTGGATCACTTCATACTATATCACATGCACATGTTTCGAAAAGGAAAAACACAATTCTTAGTTTACCTATTAACAATGTGTGGCTCTTGCCCTCGAACAGGATGTAAAATGTATAGATATTCAAAGTTGATCTCTTATCGAGATGAGCGATTCAACAAAGAATTTGTTCCTTTTGTAAAATAATTACCTAACCCTTTGACCTATTCAATGTTTCAAACACCTTTAGATCTCGTCGCGAACTTTGGCCCCCAGATGAATCATTGTCCTAAAACAAAGCCGGTAGTCGGTATAACCGGGGCGAGGACCAAAAAGGCACTTAAATGTACCGCCATCATTCTTTGGGCCATATTTCTCCATTATAAAGTGAAGTGGCGAGTATATTCAGGCCATAATTCATGTTTTTAATCAAGCGTAAGTGTGAATAAGTGCTTTCTCTACCGGTTCTTTTATTATATTGTACAGGAGGGAACAAAAGGTAGATGAATAATATTCGGCAGAGTTAACAGAGTATATTCGAATTCATATTTTTACATAAGGGAGTCATCACAAAAATTTCAAACTTTGCTTTCCAATGGTACCAAGTACCTATGAATTACATGGTATTTTAACCCAACTATACTCGTTGAAGTCTCATACCGCTGTAATTTGTAAAATAATTGTTCTGGCCAAAAAAAGTGCCATAACCATCTTCCCATTGTGTCGAAACTATAATCAATTTCATTCTTTTAAATAGTTTCGACTATTTTAATCATATTTCAAAACATTAAAAAAACGTTTTTAAAATCACACAAACATAACCCAAGATTTATTTTCTCCCTGCTTTGTACTGTTGACAACACTACAATACAAAATAACTAACATAATTTTGTACTCACTACTATATACTTTAACGCAGTTTTTAGACCCACTTTACAGCTAAATCAGAAGTGGACATACAGGGTTGTTACTTTTGACAAAAAATACTATAAAATAAGGAAAATAATTAATTTTTTCTCGTTTTAACACAAAAATATACGTAGTAAATACAATCTACTTTAAAAGTGAATTTCTTACGGCACTTTATTATGCCAAATATTTGAAGCTATGGTCGCTATCACATCTGAAAATTTTGTCCGTGCCGTTATACTAAGCCTTTAAAATCAGTTGAAATTAAGCGATAGTATTTTAAGCTTAATGCACCTTTCTGTATAAAATATTGATGATTATTAAGAATTCTAATATAATACCTTTATAAAAAGTTCCCTAAAAAAATAAGCATGAAAAATAATTAGGTATAAGATGAAAAGCTAACAACTGCTAACATTTGCTTTATTTTAAAAATATTTTTATGTCATACTAGTTCATTATTGTGTTTTTATTGCTTAGTTACCAACTATCTAATGTCGTACTTTATGCCCGTGCGGGCATAAAGTACTTTACCATGGAATATTTGGACCACAAGGAACTCGGAGAAAATGTTTTAGCGAGATCGCCGAAGTATCCAAGCAACACAGTTTCTTTTTTTACGTAGTTTTCTTGCATCCAATTTAATAATTTTTCGTATTCCATGTCGTAAGCTTCTTTAGACTTTTGGCAACAGATTTTCAGTTGCTTTCTT